GTCTCTTTATAAAATTTCCTTACCAAAGTACCAGTAGTACAGTAGAGGAATTGTCTTTGCCCATAAGAAACATTTTTTAAAACTTGAAATGTCAAGGTCAAACTTTCTCCTGTGCAAATTTTTTTCTTTTAGTTGTTTTCCTGTAAAGTGAAAAATAGAACCCATGTCCTAGTGTCCTAGATCTTTATCCTCCCCCCTCTGTCTTTCATGATTTAGTTTCTTGCATACTCAACCTCTGTCCTCCCACTTTCTCCTGTTCCCATAAGACTATAAAATCTTTCCTGTAGTAAAGCTTAACAGTTCTTAAAACACTTAATACATTTGTAAATTATTTTCGCTATCTAAAGTTTCTGTTTGCTTTTTTCCTTTTGGAGACAATAATACATTGTCTGATAAAGACATACTTGAAACTAGAAACAAAAAGGGTTTAATTGGACTCACAGTTCCACATGGCTAGGGAGGCCTCAGAATCATGGCAGGAGGTGAAAGACAATTCATACGTGGCAACAGCAAGAAAAAATGAGAAAGATAAAAAAGTGGAAACCCCTGATAAAACCATAAGATCTCGTGAGATTTTTTCACTGTCATGAGATTAGCCCTGGAAAGACTGTCCTCCCACAATACAAGTGAACTCTGGGAGATTTGGTTGGGGACAAAGCCAAACCATATCAGACAGCTAATTTTTTTTTTTTTTTTTTTTGAGATGGAGTCTTGCTCTGTTGCCCAGGCTTGAGTGTAGTAGTGCAGTCATGGCTCACTGCAACCTTTGCCTACTGGGTTCAAGGGATTCTCCTGCCTTAGCCTCTTAATTAGCTGGGATTACAGGTGCACATCACCATGCCTGGCTAATTTGTTTTGAATTTTACGAGAGACAGGGTTTCACCATGTTGGCCAGTCTGGTCTCGAACTCCTGACCTCAAGTGTTCTGCCCACCTTAGCTTCCAAAGTACTGGGATTACAGGCGTGAGCCAACACACCCTGGTTTTTAAAAAAATTTTTCGTAGAGATGATGTTCCCTTGGTTGGTGTCAAACTGTTGAGTTCAAATAATCCTTTTGTCTTGGTCACCCAAAGTGCTGTGATTACAGGTGTAAGCTACCATACCCCTGCTCACTTTTTGAAAAATAGTAACCATTATTCAAAGTTTAGCATAAATTATTAAAGTAGCTGCTATTTAACAGCTACTACTTTTTCCTTTGTTACAATTTCATGGGTTGAAGATTAGTTTTCACTATGGAGCTCAGCAATCTCAGCCTCCCAAAGTGCTGTGATTACAGGTGTGAGCCACCATACTCCCTGTTAACTTTTTGAAAAACACTAACCATTATTCAAAGTTTAGCATAAATTATTAAAGTAGCTACTATTTAATAGTGCTTTTCATGTCTCAGAGATGTTCCAAGCACTTTTCCCATGTATTAAATCCGTTAATCCTCAAAATAAACCTAAAAGGTAAATACTTTATCTTTATTTTTTCACTACTGGGATTTAAGGCACGAATAGTTTGAATAACTTGCCCAAGGTCACACAGCTAGGATGTAGACCTCAGCCAAATTTGTAGTCCCCCATAACTTGTGCTTTTACCAATTACAACTTTTAATTTTTTTTAATTTTTATTTTTTTTTTAATTTTTAATTTTTTTTTTTTTTGAGACGGAGTTTCGCTCTTGTTACCCAGGCTGGAGTGCAATGGCGCAATCTCGGCTCACTGCAACCTCCGCCTCCTGGGTTTAGGCAATTCTCATGCCTCAGCCTCCTGAGTAGCTGGGATTACACTCACGCGCCACCATGCCCAGCTAATTTTTTGTATTTTTAGTAGAGACTGGGTTTCATCATGATGACCAGGATGGTCTTGATCTCTTGACCTCATGATCCACCCACCTCGGCCTCCCAAAGTGTTGGGATTACAGGCTTGAGCCACCGCGCCCGGCCCCAACTACAACTTTTTAATAAAATTAACTTTGTAAAACCTCCTTTGGCTCCACAGACCAAGTAGATTATACCATGCTGTGGCCAGTCCCACTAAACTTTCTTTATATACCCTTTAAATACATTACAGTAGTCTACCCTTAACAATGGTTTTGTTTTCTGCAGTTCCAGTTATCTCTGGTCAGTCGAGGCTGGAAAATATTAAATGGAAAAATCCAGAAATAAATGATTTTTGTTTTAAATTGCACACTGTTCTGAGTAGCATGATAAAACCCCACACTATTCCCCACTTTTGAATCATCCTTTTGTCTAGCCAACCGTGCTGTCTGTGCTTCCCACCCGTTAGTCACTTAGTAGCCATCTCGTTATCAGATCTGCTATCTTGGTATAACAGCACTTGCAATCAGGTAACTCTTATTTTACTTAATAGAGGCACCAACGCACAGAGTAGTGATGTTGGGAATTTTCCTATGTCAAGAATAAGGCTTAAAGTGCTTCCTGTAAGTGAAAAGGTGAACTTTCTCAACTTAATAAGGAAAGGAGAAAAAAGCATACGCTGAGATTGCTGAGATCTGTGGTGAAAACTAATCTTCAATCCGTGAAATTATAATGAAGGAAAAGAAACTCATGCTAATTTTGCAATCTCAATTTAAACTGCAAAAGTTATGGCTGCAGTGCATGATAACTTCTATTATAGTATGTTGCTGTAATTGTTCTTTTATATTAGTTATTGTTAATCTCTTACTGTGCCTAATTTATAAATTTAGCTTTATCATATATATGTATAGGAGAAAACATAGAAAATGTAAGATTTGGTATTATTTTTGCCTTCAGGCCTCTGCGGGAGGGTCTTAAGATGTATCCGCAGCAGATAAGGGAAGACTGATGTATTGTGATATTTTACTCTCTATATTGTGGCCTGTCAGAGTCTGTTTCCCAATGTCTTTGTTTCAGACCTTTGAATTTTTTGTATTTAATCATAAAAGTTTCTTGGATTAATGAATAATAATAGACCCCTTTCATCCTCAGGAGATGTGTTTTAAGCTCTCCAGTGGATGCCTGAAACCGCAGATAGTATGTAACCCTGTATAGACCTATACTATGTTTTTTCCTATACATAACAATCTATGATAAAGTTTAATTTATAAATTAGGCACAGTAAGGAATTAACAACATTAACTAATAACAAAATAGAACAATTATGGCAATTTATTGAAATAAAAGTTACATGAATGCTCACTCTCTTGGTTTCTCAAAATATCTTAGTATTTTCAGAGTGTGATTGATTGAGGGTAACTGAGCCACAGAAAACAAAACTGTAGATTAAGGGAAGCTACTATAAATGAATGAATGAATGTAAGAAACACCAAGAAGAAACAGGATATGAGTAAACAGCTGCTATGAAAGACAAAAATAAACAGTTGTAATGATGGCAATTACCATTTAGGGTAAAGGTAAAAGAAAAAGCCATGACAGTTGATCTACACTTAGAATGAAATTATATTTATTGCTCTGAATAGAAAGTATAGCTTTCTTTTTACTTGCATGCCTGATGCAACAGAGAAAAGTAGAAAGACTCCTTTTTACAACTCATTTTCTGTTTTTGCAAATGCAGATAAAACTGATAAGTTTCATCCTGTGACAAGAAACTTCTAATATATTTGAAGAATTACAATCCCTTTGGCTAGCATCTACCTTCTTTATGGCCTTTTACACTTTTTTGACTTTTTGTCTACTATATTGTTTGCTTTATGGCAGATTTTTTCATTACAGTTGCAGCACTCACTTCTGTATATTTTCTGTTTTCTCCATTTGAGTGTCCCAGATCCTACATTATGTCACTTTTCTACTCAAAACCTTCCATTGGCTTCCATGTCACGTAAAGGAAGAGTCATTACTTGGGAAGTCCCACATGGTAGGGCCTCGTGATTTCTTTCTGACCTCGTTGTTCTCTGTTCACACACCACACTGAGTGCTCCTCCCCAGCTGTCCTTATCCCTCACTTTTCACTTCCTTATGCTTTTTCCTCAGAAGTTACTTCCTGAAAAGCCTACCCTTACCTCTTACCTCTGTATTTATAATCACAACACCATGGTATCTCCCATTAATCCTATTTTAATGTTCTCAGTAGTACTTATCACCTAATATACTATATCATGTAATGATTTGCTATTCTTATATTTCTTACCCCATAAAAGCAGAGATTGCTGTGAATAGAATCCCCATAAAAGCAGAGATTGCTGTGCATTTATTTGTTTATATTCCTAGGAACCCAAAACCTGTAACAGTGCCAGGCACAGTAGACTTTCAAATATTTGATGAGTGAATGAAGAAACAATAAATTCAAGATCTCATTTCCTTTAAAGAAAATATGCTTCATTGAAAATGCCTATATTAAAATATGCCTTGGGAAGAATTGTGAGAAAGATGCAAACATTAGATAATGAATTGGGGCAGGGCCACACCTGCACATTAACCCTTCTTCTATTACCTGAGTGCCACTACTTTGCAAAATCAGTTTTTATCTCAGAAACATCAGCAGAAAACAGCCACACTCTCCCCCATGACATACATAGCCCGCATAATCTGGCCTCAGCCACTTTACTACCTCATTTCATTCCATAGGAAGGAATGACATAGTTTTTCATGGCTCATTTTGTTTCCTAAGATTATACATATGTACAGATGTAGGCGAGGACTTTAATCCTAAAAACATGGTTCTTTTCCGATTGAATTGCAATTTTCTACTTCCAATACAAGATATATTGGAAGTGAAGTGATAGTTGACACAGTCTAATCAACTGGCATTTTGATTGATGATTTGGGGAGTCTAAGAAGTAATGGCAACTGGAGAGAAATATATTTAGTATAATTTAATAATAACCTGATTTGCATGTTTTTGTCTGTTGGAATGATTACATAGATTTACCTCTTACATCTTTTATACTGATTTACGTTTATTTTTCCAGATTACAGTACAATCTGTCAAATGTTTTGTGTTGAAAAGGCCACTTACTGATAGAATATGGGAAATACAGGTATACATGTTTTTGATTTATTTGTTGATGCATGTTAATGGATAGCTTTCCTTGGAAAGTTGGGGAAGACATAGATTTTATTTATAATATATAATAATATACCAAATCATGACTATATAATTCAAAACAAAATGTTTTTATAAATATTTACAATGTGTTTTAAAACATGCTATTAAGTAGATTAGTAGCCTTATGTTACTCTTTTTTATATATATTGTGGCATATGTATAGTGGATCAAAAATGATATTAGATGAAATGAGAAAAGTTTTCCTGAGAGTAAAACTATAGTTTCATAAATAGATTGATTTTATGATCACAATGTTTTCTCTTCCAGTTTTTCATTGTTCATTTTTTATACCTTGGCAAATTAATCTTCAGTGTCAGCCAAAATTTCACTTGGCTTTTATTGTAAATTGCCCTAATTGATGAGTGAAAAAGCTTTGATATCTGCCTAATCTTAGTTGGATGAAATAACTGATTTCCTTCTAATTCATTTTTGCTCCATAAAATGATATGTTAATAAATGAGGAAAACCAATCATTATCTAGAAAAGTGCAGTTATTCCTGCTCAGAATTAAATAAATCAGAATGGAGAAATTTTATAGCATTTTTTTTTAACTGTTGACTGTCACTATATATGTTATTTTAATGAATGAGAGTAAGTCTTATAAAAGTTGTAAAACATTTATGGGATCCATTTCAGAGGGTATATAAATATTTTATAACTAGTAGGAGAATTTCTAAGTACTGTTAACTTGCCTATATGTGCTGCTGTTAATCAGTTGATTAATTTTCAGACAGATAACAAAAAAATTCCCGGTAGTAACAATGGTGTACTGATGGTATTCATTTGTTCTTTTTTCTTTCCCCCAATAAACTCTATATATGGAAATGTAGCTCAGTATGAGGCAGAAGGTGGGACTCAACACTAGAGACAGGGAGGGACATCGGACCAAATTGAGGACTAGTAAAGCAAGGAAGGGGCAGAGACAGCTTTTCATAAGACATGTCCACCAGTGCACCATATCAGTTTATCATTGGCATGAGTTACTGTAAGTTACACCCAAGTTACTGCCGCTTTCCATGAGAAAGACCCAACAACCCAGGAGTTATTACCCTTTTTCTAGAAGTTTCTGCATAATCTGCCCCTTAATTTGCATGTAATTAAAAGTGGGTATAAATATGACTGCAGAACTGCCATTTAGCTGCTATTCTAGGTGCACTGCTTATGGCACAGCCCTGCTCTGCAAGGAGCAGTACTTCTGCTTCTGTTATACACTGCTGCTTCAGTAGAGGCTCCTACCATTGTCATGCCTTTGATTTCTTTCCTGAGCTAAGCCCCAATTTGGAGGCTTGCCTGCCCTACATCAAGTATCGTATTTAATTTATGGGTGATATTTGTTTTCAAATCTATGGAATCAACTCTGTAGAATTTCTTTAGCAATTTTTTTTATTGGGAGCATGATTAAAGTGGTTATTATAACTACTGAACAATTTCTGAATTATACAAAGCAAGATATTTGGATTAAATGTAATAAGCTATAGCAGAATATTTGCATCTTGCTTTTGGGAAAACTTATTATTTGTAAAAATAAAAATTATTATACATGAATGCATTCTCATTATAAAAGACTCAAACACAAGACAGAGCAAAATGAATGTTTATCTTCATGCCCCCCTTAGACCCATGTTCGTTAGAGATAAAAATTTAACAGTTTAGTATGCATTATTCCAGGACAAAATTTCGACCATTTTCAGACATGTACATCCTGATGTTAATACATTTAAAGATGGAATCATAGTATATATCCTTTTAACTTGGGTTGGAGGAGGTCAACATACTTTGGAAATAAAGAGATTTGCTTTTACAACTGAAGGTCACTCTTTGGTATATAGACAAATCTACCCAGCCAGCTACCACTGCTAGCACCTCATAAGAATGAGAAACATGACTATGAGAGTATAAAATAATTGTGTTAAGTCAGTTCATTCATCAACAAGCCACAAATATAGCTTAACAAATAGGAATCCTTTTTATCTTATGGTTATTTGCCAAGTTTGCCACAGTCCTTGTGTATGTGTGTGATCATTACTGTAGCATGACCCCATATTGCATTCTCATATTAGCCTTTAAATACTTACTGTAACACTTTAGCTTTTATTTCATTGATTCAGATCTTTTTTTTTTGTCCTATTCTTTCTTTCATTTGATCTTTTTTGCCCTTTTTATTTTCTTCTATCTTTGAGTTTAACATTTTGGATTATGTTTGATGGTGATAAGTTTAGTTCAGAGTTTCCCATCCTCAGCAATCTTGACATTTTGGAAAAGATAACTCTTTGTTATCAAGAGAGAGGTCCTTGCTTTGTAGCATGTTAAGCAACATCCCTGACATCTACTGGCTAGATGCCAGCACAGTGCCCCTAGTTGCGATAATGAAAAATATCTCCAGATGTTTTCAAATGTCCCTGGAAGGTAAAAGCACTCCTAGTTACTGCCAAATGTCCCCTGGGAGGACCATCCCCAGCTGATGCCAAATGTCTCCTAAGGAGCAACACCATGCTGGTAGAGAACCATGGTTTATTAGCATTCCTAAACTTATGTAGTATTTTTTGGGCATATTTTTTAAGGAAAAGTAGCTATCCCTGAACCAATTCATAACATGTTTTGATGTATAATTAACATTGTCATAAATACAATAGTAGTGAAACTTCACTCCTTATATATACAATTGACTTTAACTTTCTTGGCAGTAGATATGTATTTGCTGCATCGTTACATGGAAAGAATATTCGCTGATGAAATAATCCTCTCCAACTTGAAAGAAATATTTTCACCTGTCCCTGTGTGTATCAGTCACCTGGTATCTGACCTTCCTTCCTGTGTCTAGACATAAGTTCATACAGCACTTTGACTCTTGGTATTTTTACAAATGTATGCATTTGGCATACAGCAATGTAATGCCAAATATAAACTTGTTTTCTAAGAAGCATGTTTTGTTTAAAAAAAACACAGCCTTTCAAAATAAATGCTGCATCATAAAGTCTAAATATATATGGATTTTCTACACATAATCCCTCAACACTCGTATTCTAATATGTGAGTATGGGCAATCTTCAATTTAAATGGAAATAACATAAACAAAAATTTTAATATTTTACCTAAAATTTGCAAAATTCAGTAATGTTTTAATAATAAAAACCTTATCTATGTACTATCTAGGATATATGTTCAGACATGTTGATCTTTGAAGTTAAAAATTCTTGTACTTTCCCCCTCCAGAAAAAAAAAACTACAAAAAGAAAAGACACCAACTGTCCTTCCCAGTGAAATTTAGACTACTTCAAAAAGAAAAAAAGTTTCCTGTATTTCTAGACTTAATGGTCTTATTTCCGCCCTTAGTATATATTCATGTTTAATGAATTTCCTGTTGACTTTAAAAGGAATTTCCACTATTGGCTATTTTAAAATAATTACCTATTTCAAGCTTTTCCTAGCATGTGGTTAAATCACTTCCTTTGCAGAAACAATACTCAACCTTTTTTGAAGTTAAGATCTGAATGTGAAAATTCAAGCACTGTATTGATTTTAATGGATCAATTTATTTTTCTGTCTTCAACACACCAATCTTTAAATCCATAATTTCTGATTTTGTTTTTAACTATGTAAACCAATTTCAAAAGATTTGAAAATGGCAAATCCGATAGACAGATGAAGTGTTTTTGTTGTAAATTAATATAAACCACATTCTAGATATTGATGTTATGTTTGATACTAATACTGAGTCTAGCTAATACAGTAGACCTGATTTTTCCATAAACTGGAGATCAGGTAGAAACTACTAAAAGATAACATTGTGATGAAAAGATGTGTGACACTAAGTTTAGTGTGCTCACATGCTAAAAATGTTTTTCACACATAAGAATTTATTGTATTACTGGCACTATCTGACAATCACTTGTATCGGCTTTTAATATTTTTATCAAAATAAACTTTTTAAAAACTTAGATATATTTAAAAGGGAAATATAGTCATATATAAATATATATATGTTTTTTCAGTATACATTAAATAGTAAAGTAAAAAGGACCACAGAGTTAGAAGATTACTCAGGTAGCCGGGTGCAGTGGCTCACATCTGTAATCCCAGCACTTTGGGAGGCAGAGGTGGGTGGATCACTTAAGGTCAGGAGTTCGAGACCAGTATGACCAACATGGTGAAATCCTGTCTCTACTAAAAATACAAAATTAGCTGGGCGTGGCGGAACATGCCTGTAATCCCAGCTACTTGGGAAGCTAAGGCACAAGAATTGTTTGAACCCAGGAGGCGGAGGTTGCAGTGAGTCAAGATTGTGCCATTGCACTCCAGCCTGGGCAACAAGAGCGAAACTCGGTCTCAAAAACAAAAAGAAAAAGATTACTCGGGAATCATGGAATCACTTAAAATCATCTAGAGTATTACCACTGAGTTTATGGGAAAAAATTTGTGCATTACAAAACTTGCCTTTTAATTTATAGGGGTTTCAGGTTTTAAGTAGGAATCTTCAAGAACATGATAAAAAATTCTTCTGCTTCATTATTTTTAAATTGTATGTACAGTGTTCTCTATATAGTGTATTAATTATTATAGAGTATAATTAAGTATACTGCTTTTATATTTTAGAACTTTTCTTTGGGAGGTAGAGGAAGAGGTTAGCATTGGCTGCTAGGTGAGATTGTAAATGAAGTAACAACATGACCTCCTAATTTTGTCCTATTCTCATGGCATATATTTGTAATACCTTAGGGAAAGGAGAGAGTTGAAGCTGATTTCAGCTTAATTCTAGATCTCCTCTGAATGGCATTAAAAGCAGTTTATAACATGTGGCCGGATATAATAATATTCATGGTGGTTTATTATCATCCAAATTTGTAGCAACTTTTTTACCAGGTATTTCTGTAGCTATTTCTGAGTTTCTCTCAACACTGCAATTCTTCTCTACCTTTGTTATTTCAGCTGTTTTATGAAGGTTTATTTTGGAACTGAATATTGACTAAAGTCTTATGCCACTCTCATTTAGCTCTTTGTGGCAAAGGTTACATGTATTTGAAGTTGTAGCCTTTATGGCTGAGAAGTACATCAGAGCCAGCCAGTGTCCATTGCCTCTACTTCCCTGACCCTGACTTTGGCCTTCAATACCTCTTTTTTCCCAGCGTTAGGCGTTTTCTCACTCTTGTTCATTACAGCCATGATCATGTTATATTCTGGCCAAAAACCTTCAATATTCTGCCTTTTGTCAAGACCTCTTTATCTTTACTCTCTATTCTCTCTACCATCTGCAATGCCCTTATGTTCTCATTACTCCCCCTACTTGATACAAACTGTACAATCATTGTATCCTTGGGAGATTTTACTGTTGCTTTTGCTGTCCTTTCTTCTGTGTGTTGAGTTTTCCTAAAAAACCAATATAAGTTCATTTGTCTGTAAATATCTACACTCTTCTAGGTCCAGCTCACATTTTGCCTCTCACCTTAAGCTGCTTGGGTTCTCTTTTAATCCTTTGCAGACAGAATGAATATCTCCTCTCCTCCCTGAATTGCCATTGTACTTCTTGTGATTGCTTTATTTTATTATATTTTACTGTGTTGCAGTTATATTGCAATCTCAGCACGGAAGAAAGGCATGGGTTTTAGAGTCCGGTATATCTAGTTTTTGATCTGTTTCCTCTTTAACTGCCCCAAAAACTGGCTGTGCTGTGGTATATTCTTTTATATTCTAGAGACTCTGTTCTTTGCATATACTGTTGCAGTTGGCAATAGATGTTTAAAGGATGAATCACCACTTATTCATGAAGGACTGTTATTTTGATATTTATTCAAACAATATTCTGAAGAATCCTCAATGTTTTTCCCACCCACAGAGGAATTACTTTCTTCTCCAAAAAGTACGCAGTTAAGGAGTTTGTGTGTGGAAAATGAACAAAAATGTTCCATGGAGGAGATATCTGATATCTGAAGGGGTGTATGTGTGTGTGTGTGTGTGTGTACAACGTCAGGGAAAGGGAAGGTTGGTTTTAATATCACACTTTTCCTATTTTTTTTCTGTTTTGGTATGTATTCTAAACGTAGTAATTTATAGCTGTTATAGCTCCAGACACTTATGAATCCTAATGCCAGTTTCCAGTTTTTAAGGCGGGAAATTGCTGGCACGTCCTCTTAATCCTCCTCTCCTCTAGGATTTACTTTCTGGGTAGCAAGATACTAGACAGGAAAAATGTCACAAGTTTGCAAATAAGTTATGCAAAAGGTTTATTAATTTAAATAATTGTGTCATATAGTTAGGCCCTGAAGATACTAACTTGCTTTTCTGCCTTTCCTACATTTTCAACACCATGTGCTTAGTATAGCAAAATTTAGTGCTAGATGTATTTGTCTTAAACTTAGTTCAAGGGACTAATAAGATTAATAGGAAAAGAGGATTTAATTATAAGATATCCTAATGTCTGGAGAAGGCCCTCAGTCAGAACCCTCATGCTTCTCATGCACAGAGATGTCTGTGAATACTCTGACCACTTTTCTTGTGTTTACTTAGGACTAAATGAGTAAATGACTGAATGTCAGCACTATTAATTAAATTTGTTGTAGAGTCTCTGATGGCCCTGAATCATTTTCCAGGGAACATGCTGAAACTAAGCTTCTAAAAATCATTGCTTAGTGAACATGTAAGATGGCAATAAACTTTTCAGTGCTCTATTTTCAAGAATAATAATATTCAGAAGAGCCTTCTTTTAAATGACACATAAAGATTTTTCCCCGCTTTATTAAATGCCTGTAAATTCTAGGTTGAACTTTTAGACATTGAATATAGTGACTTAAGAATCTTTAAGTTTTTACTTCAGCTTAATTATTTAAGCAGTTGAGATGCCAATTTAAATTGATATTTAACAAATATTAAACAAATTAAATATCAATTTTATTATAATGCCCTCTCTTATTAGATGCATGTATTATTTAAACAGTTGAAATATCAGTTTTATTTAGAAGTGTAGGCTCATTATGTTTCAAATTTGAGGAAAGACATGAGTTTTCAGATTGACAGTGCACTCTGAGTAAAATAAAGATAAATCTAAATATAGACGTGTCATGATAAAACTATAGAACATAAGGAATTAGGAGACGACCTTGAAGGAGAGAAAGCCATTATGTACAAAGGAATAACTATCGAAACACAGAAGTCAGAAGACATTGATATAATGTATTTAAGCACCATTAGAAAACCACTGTCAACCTGGAATTGTACACACAAGTAGTCTCATAAAATGAATGCAAAATACAGATATTTTCAGATACACACACACATATACACACACACATGCACACAAAGAAATGTAGGCTTATTTCTAATCTACTGAAATCAATCAAATATGTTGATGCTAAATGAAGCTACTGCATACCGAAACTTTTATTTATATATAGTTTCCAAAACTCAGGGTAGATATTTGAATATTCTTAAAGGAGATTGTACCAAATCATGTTGATAGTCTAACTTGAGAGAATCTGGGCCTTCAAGTTTGCAGAAATGTATGAGGTCATAACAGTTCTTGATGAACTTCTTAGAGAATGCAATGCAATTTCTGATTATATGTCAGGCTAGTGGCTTTGAATATACCAGTTATTAAAAGGAGAACAAATAGAATTTTTCTGTTGTTACTTCTTGCTTTGTCCAATCACATGTTAAGTCTAGTCAAGTAGAATTAATTTAATGTTGATTTGTTGTTTCTGTCAGCAAACAACATATAATATTTGTGATTTAAGCAAAATATTTTTCCTCACAGGTGTTTTGACTAATAGGGCAGGAAATAGAGAATGGCAGTAACTCTCATGGGGAAAGTACTGACTAGGATAGATTCACTAGCCAACCTTGTCACTTGGCACGTTGACACCACTTTTATGTAAAGGTGAATTTTAGTCTGAAAAATTATATAATGAGCATAACATTTATCAGCTCTTATTCTTCATAGATCCTTGATTTCTGAGTGTCTAGACCAATGCTTTTGTTGCCACTTTTTTAGTTATTATTTTTGTACACATTGTTTCAAGTGATGGAACAATGTAGTAGTCATATAGTCCATATCTTTAAAATATAGTTTCAGAAGAACTGTGTTTATTACTTTCTTTGCAGTAGTCTACTATACCATAGTGGGTTTTTGATACTTGGTGACTACTTTAAATGATGGTTAACCCTATTCCGCTGCTCTGCTTCATTTTTGTTAGCTTATTCCTTGAATCTGTGGGATCAGAACCTAGCTCACCTGTTGGGATACTTGAAGTTTCCTATACTTTATATTATATATATTGTCTAGATCTAATATTTCACTATACATACAATCTGTGTAAGCTTTAAGAGTTTAATGATAAATTAATAACAAATATTTTATTTGTTCACACATGTATTGAATATTCAATACTTTACTAATTTTTAACTTTAGGCAAAATCCTTCAAAAATAAGTGAAATGTTTTACAGATTTAAAAATGAGGGTTAGGGGATTAAAATAGTTTGCCTTTAGATAATAATACCTTCCTTATTGGATTAATATGAGGATTGAGATGTATATCTGAAGCAGCTAACACAGAACTGGGCACAACAAATGAAAATTGTTGTTGCTGTTGCTTTTATCAATGCTGGTGTCTGAGCTAGTGGTATAGCCAGGTTCTTTCCGATCTGAATCTAAAGTCTATGTTGATTATCTTTCTGATCTGAATCTAAAGTCTATGTTGATTATATTTGAGACCTTTTGAATTTAAATGAACACTTGATATAGTTTTATTTATTCTCCTTATGTAGCAGTGTTCTCAATTATTTCAAAGAAGCCAGGTGTTAATGACCTTCTGGAATAAGTTTTTATTCTTGGTTTTAGCTTCCGCAGCAGTCCATTAACGATTAGGGCTGACACCATGTTTCATGCTGATGACACTGTTCCTAGAAACTCTGCAACAGATGGTAACTTTTGTGTAGACTCAGCACAGTTCTCCCAGACTATGCTCCTGACTTAGCAGAATTCAGCAGATCAACAGTCTGTCTATACAAGGCATCGGTCTGTGGTAGAGAGACTTATCTGGAAAACTAGCAGAGAAAAAGATGCTAACTAAAATGGGTCAAGAGCTCTAGCTGAACTCTGTTCTCTGTGTGGCATTTTGTGTTGGATTTAAAAATCATATGGCCAGAAAGCTCTTTTACTGTAAGGCCAGTTAAGCAAATAGCCTGGTGTCAGATTCTAGATAAGGCACAAGTTTACATTTTGTACTGAGATCATTTTTATCTGAGGCCTCTATGTTTTACAAATGCCCATGTGAGGGCAAGATGCCTACTATACAGAACATGCAATTAATGAATGCCCTAGGGAATAAGATAAGGAGATGGAATTCCTGTGCCAACATAGGGCTCTTTGTTTCACACATTTTCATCATTTTGGACAGGATTATTTGAATTTGGCAATAGATGGACAAGACTTTGTTCTGCTTGTGCCTATAAATTGGGAATCATTTCATTGTGACATATGGGGGAATATTTCTTTGGGGGAAAAGAGAAGTATGTTTACTTTTCTGATACACCTTACAAGTTTCCTTGGGACTAGTCAGATGACAGAGATTTCAGTGATAGGACTGAGACTGTAGAGGCTATTTACTATGAAGTTAATGGACCGTAGACTTTAGGGCTCCTTATTTTCTCAGGCTGTGTCCAAGACCCTGCACCTTATTCACATGATCATATGTAACATTTGCAATTAATATTATTTAAACATAATCAGGTTAAAATGTGCACTTCTACCCCTCTTTGTCATGTTTCTTTTAGTGCAAAATGGTGTTAGAGCAGGCATGGGCAATTTTGAATTCTGGCTAATGGGTTAGGAATACATTTATTTTGCACTTAGTGGAATATATTGGTGTGAGCCATATGAAACTGTCATTTTTTGAGGTTGAAAATGATTGAGCATTGACAATTTCATATGGCCAACCTAGTATTTATGTGGTTCAATATTAGTTCAATGTATAATGAAGTTACTTCTACTGCTCTGGTAAAGGAATGTCTCCCTGAAATCTTCCCACTTCTCCTACTGCTTCCCACTGACCCTACCTACATACCCAGAATGATGAGTAAAAGCACATACCAAGAGGTCATTTTGTAATATGTATGTGTCTGAGAGCATCTGGCACCAAAGGTATTTGGAGTCAGAGGAAACACCACCACCATCACCACCTTGATCTAGAATTGGAGAGCAATCATAATAACGTATCTGACTTCCTTTCACAGGAAAAGGAGTTTAATAGGATGAAAATACATTGTCACACTGCTACGAGATTATATTTCTAGGGTTAATAGTAGAACACATTTCAGAAACTTCATACCAACTCAGTCTCTCTATTTCCATTCCTATCTTCTCTCAAGATAAATGTTTATTCTCATCTTTCCTTTCAGGAAAATGAAGACAGACAGGGATCATCAATGAATGAGATTTGTCTCTTAATGAAACTAGTAGTGGGTGGGGAAGACCTATTCTAGGGATATCTTCTAGTGTTTTCTACTTCTGTTTCTCTTAATGACATGTTATCCTGATTATTGTTTTGCCTCACCAACTGGGGTGGCCTAGGAGGTGCTACTAGAATCAGCAAAAATACATTGCTTGCTAATTAATTCTCCTCAAACATAAATTCCTCAGTTTTCACAAGTAAAATAGATGTTTGCTCTTCCATCCTATGGTTTTATCTTTTCCTTTAATTGCATCAGCTTTGGGGAGTCTGAGAAGCTGTAACAAAAAAAGTAATGTTTTTCTGATTTCTGCATACAATGAGTTCCTAAATGTCGCAAATAATTGAGAAAATCAAGGAATGTCAGGTTCTCTGAATGTCTGTTTCTCAAAGAGCTTTTCTTTAATAAACTCTTGCCAGGGGATGAAGTGACCTATGAGAGTTTTTACTTGATTTATTCATGACGAATATGGGTATGTAGGATGAATATTTAAACCTTTAATACTATCTTGTCTTTTGGAATATAACATATAAACGTACCTTCTTTTCTACTTTTTAAAAATCTGGAGCATCTATAATATGGATCAAACATCACGAATCAACTAATAAATCTCTTGCAACTCAAAAGGGTCTCAGGATCCTCAGTGCCCATCTGTGACTCTACTGCCTTCCTTTTATATTTCCCTATTTTGGTGAATGTGATAACCAGCCACAGAATCTGAGGCATGCAAGATGCCTCATGAATTATTCACCATATCAGGCTCATGAAAACCTTCCTAATCTCTTCTCTGGATGCCTCAGTTCCTCCTGACCTCCTAATTAGATAAGTCTGTTATTCATAATGCATTGTTGCAGCTATCCTTGAAATGTAGTTTACCCAATTAGGAGGATGGAAAAAGAAGAGTTTTTCTTAAGGAAATATAGCTTATATAGCATGATTCAAAGTCCTCTTTAGTGGACAGTCACCATTTTATCATATTAATTCACTCAACAAATATTGTTAGAGTGCTTAATATGTGCCAGGTACTGTGTTAGGTACTAGGGAGACCACAGTACACAAGGAGACAAAAATGCAAGCCCGCAGAGGGCTGACAATCTCAGGGCAGGGGGAAGCAAGTAAGTCAATAAGTAAGATATATTATATGTCAAACAATGACATATGCTGTGAAACAAAATGAAGCAGATTAAGGGGCTGGGAAGAAATGGAGTAAGGTAATGGGTTGGGTATCTTGGATTGTCTCCTCCAGATCCATTCTCCACTCTTCTGCATCCTGCCCTCTGCTCTGGGAAGTAAATTAATATGGATTATATATATTAATAGGCTCTCTGGAAAGAAATTCATGGGAGGGAGAAGTGTGAGTTCAGGGTATTTATTCTCTCAGCTTCTTTTTCACAGGTAGCCTCAGTCTGTCTTCCCTCCTTCAATCAGTATTTTTCTCAAGGCAGCCCTCTCTGTTGGACTCTTTCTGGTTTCTCTTCTCTTCTCTTCCCCTTCCTCCTTCAGGCTTGAGGAGGCAATAGCACTCTTATTACCAAGCCAGTGGTTCTGTATTTTACCTTCTGTTTTATTACATCATAGAACTCATACCCTTGTAAACGGTTCTTTATTCAACTGTACTGGTTGTTTGAATTTAATGTGGCACCCATTTTGGGGGATCCTGACTGATACAGTTACTAGTCTGGGAATAGGTAGTCTAGGAATAGGTTTGACATTATCAGTGACATGTGAAGGACATGAGGAAAAAAGCCATGGAGATGTGTGGGGGAAAGAACCATCTGCATAGAAAAGCAGTAGCTTTATTCTTGGAATGTTGGATTGAAAATGAAGTGGACTGGGTGGCTGAAACGAAGTAAGTGGGAGAGAAGTAGGAAATTAAGTCAGAGAGGTAGTAGACTTAGGTGGGAAGATCACAGAGTGACTTCTTAGGGCAAATACTCAGTATGAGATTAGAAATTAGTGGAGGTGATAAGTTTATAATGTGTCACTTTTGCTACTATTTGGAGAATAATCTGTATGGGGACAAATCACTATGAAAGCAGGAAGGCCTGTTAGGAGTCTGTTGACAAAGATGATGGTAATTGTAGCAGCAAAGATACTGAGAAATGATGGGGTTTGGGATGTATTTTGGCAAGATGGGGACAGGATTAGCTGATGGATATAGGATATTAAGAGAGGAATATGGAATTATGCCAAGTTTAGCAACTGAGTAGATAGATCTGTTTTCTGTTAGGAGAATAGTCATTGGAGGAAGAGTTTAGGGAAGAAGATCAGGAATTTGATTTTGAACCTGTTAAGTTTGAGATGCACCAAAGGAGATGTATTAAGAAGGCCTTTCATGGGAAATGTCTAGGCTAGAGATACAAATTGAGGAGACATCAACATATAGATGATATTTAAAGTTATGCAACTTACTGAAATTGCCTAGGCTGTTGATTCTCAAACTCTTTAGTTGGATATTTGTAAATATAATTTTCACTGTGAATGTATGGTGGTTGGGTCATTCCAGTCAACATTTAAAATCATCCTTAGGATTAGATATGTTTTTATAAAATAAACATATATTTTATAATTAGCAAATATACTACCTAAGTATCTATATATAAGTATATCCATAAATTACTGACATGTCTGTGTAAACTCAGGTAGACATATAAAGTATGTATAACCTAAGAACTATGTTTGAAAATATTATTTGTCTTTTTGGTGGGCACTTTTTTTGTTTGCTTGTTTTTTTGTTTTTTTGAGATGGAATTTTGCTCTTGTTGCCCAAGCTGGAGTGCAATGGCATGATCTTGGCTCACCGCAACCTACATCTCCCAGGTTCAAGTGATTCTGCTGCCTCAGCCTCCCAAGTAGCTGGGATTACAGGCATATACCACCATGCCCAGCTAATTTTGTATTTTTTTTTTACTAGAGACAGGGTTTCTCCATGTTGGTCAGGCTAGTCTTGAATTCCCGACCTCAGGTGATCTGCCTGCCCCAGCCTCTCAAAGGGCTAGGATTATAGGCATGAGCCACCGTGTCTGCCTGGGCACTTTTAAATGCTCAGAAAGTGAGAGTAATCTATAAATAGGTATATCCATAAAATACTGACATGTCTACATAAACTCAGGTAGACATATAAAGTATGTATAACACGAGAACTATGTTTGAAAATATTATTAGTCTTTTTGGTGGGCACTTTTAAATGTCAGAAAGTGAGAGTAATCACTGATTTTCCTGCCAAACAGAATTAAATTACAACTCTGAGAGGAGAACATAAGGAGTGTTATTGCAGCTATCCTTGAAATGTCAGTCTGCTTTTAAAATGTGATTATTTTAGACCCTTTGTTTACACTATGGCATCTTTATATGTATAAAATTTTAAACATTTGGGCATTCTGTGATTTGTCTAACTTTTAGTATTTTGAATAAAAGGCAATTTGCAATAGTAAAGAAATCTTTATTACCAAAAACAGTAGACTAGGAGTGAGAAGTGTGGATTTCTAGAATATTTTGTCACCAATAAGCCATGTGAATTTATAATACTGAACTTCTCTGGGCTTCGTGTTCTTTGTTTGAAAATGAAAAGGTTCAGTTGGATTACTGGTATTTCCACAGTTCCATAGATGCCTCTCTCTCAGCTCCCAAGTATGTCAGAGATGCCCAGATCCTTCTCTCTGTTTCAACCAGATCCTTTAGCTTTTATTTGTTCTTTGTCAGTGCTACTGAAAAGACATTTGGAACCACAAGATCACCAGTTAAAAAGCCTTCATCTTGTGTAGAAATAAAAGTTTCAATTAGTTATGTACCAAGTTTTTGTCAGATTTGAGAGCTGCCTTATGACGGAACCACTCCCTACAAAACGTATCCCACTAGTTTTACAACTGTCTTACCAAGTAACTATTCTTTTTCTTTTTCTTTTTCTTTTTGCCTCTGAAGAGTAGTTTAACCTTAACATGCTTTAATTATAGAGTCTTAGGATCTTACAGTTGAGACAGACCTTAGAAATCATCTCTTTCAGCCTCTTTCCTGATACAGAATGAGCACCACATCCCTGAGACTAGTTATTCAAAATCTATTTGCAGAGTGCCAGGGTCTCATCAACTGGGATGGTAACCCATTCCATTTTGTAATAGCTTTTATGCTTTCCTTTGTGAAGCCAAAATAAATATGCTTCAAACCTCTACTTTTTGGCCATTTTACTGTAGTGGTTTAAAATACTATCTGTGGTTAGCAGCTCTAAGTGTACTGTATATAAGAATCACTTAGAGGGTTAAGTTGAATATTCCAGAACTCCATATTCCAAGATTGCTTCAATAGATCAGGGATGGGGTTCAGCAAATTTATATCTTTAGCAAACATTTGATGTGATTATAAATTTGAATTGTTATTATAACTCAACACATAATTTTGTGGATTGGAAAATTCTGTTATAGAATAGTTTGTGTAATATGATTCCATTTAGGTATGTAATAGCATTTATGTATTTAAAAAATCTAGGGGCCGGGCGCGGTGGCTCACGCCTGTAATCCCAGCACTTTGGGAGGCGGAGGAGGGTGGATCACGAGGTCAAGAGATCAAGACCATCCTGGTCAACATGGTGAAACCCAGTCTCTACTAAAAATACAAAAAATTAGCTGGGCATGGTGGCGCGTGACTGTAATCCCAGCTCCTCAGGAGGCTGAGGCAGGAGAATTGCCTGAACCCAGGAGGCGGAGGTTGTGGTGAGCCGAGATTGCGCCATTACACTCCAGCCTGGGTAATAAGAGCGAAAACTCTGTCTCAAAAAAAAAAAAATCTATTTAGGAGGATATCCCCAAAATATTATCAATGCTTGGTTATTTCTGCTTGTTGTGAAAATGGACAATTTATACTTCTACCTTATTTTTACATTCCTAATGTAAAAATGATTTCTACAATTATTACATATTACTTTTATAATTAAAATATCTAATGGACAACTTATATTTTTACTTATCTTCATATCTTGTTTCTATAATGAATATATATTTATTAGTAAAATGAAAAATATTTAATGAGTAATTTATTTCCCTACTACTTATCATAAAGTTGATTTTGTAGAAGGTGGAGATTTGCATGGATGACAGGGATTTATCTTGTATGGCAACATTCAGATTCACACTGAGTGTTTTCAGGGTATATTAGTGTAAGGGTCCTTGGGTACGATATCCTGACCCTTCCAATATTCTCTAAGGGAGGATGATGATAGCATTGATAGTCGTTTCACTATTCAGCTCAGGCCATTCCATTGGTCATTTCTTTATTGTTCTTCTTTTTTTAAACAGTTTTACTCTGTCATCCAGGCTGGAGTGCAGTGGCACAATCTCAGCTCACTGCAACCTCCGCCTTCCAGGTTCAAGCCATTCTCCTGCCTCAGCCTCCTGAATAGCTGGGACTATAGGCACGTGCCACCACACCCAGCTTATTTTTGTTATTTTTGGTAAAGATGAGGTTTTGCCATGTTGGCCAGGCTGGTCTTGAACTCCTGACTTTAAGTGATCCACCCTCCTCGGCCTCCCAAAGTGCTGGGATTACAGGCATGAGCCATCATGCCAAATCTCATTTATTCTTTTAACGAACATTTACGTTCCAGGATCTGTGCCAGTCATGAGAGCCGGAAAGGAAAACCTGTGTACCTAATTCCTACTATAGCAGAGGAAGCAAAGGTGGCAAAAATAACAGATGTGCTGTCTATGCACAGAGCCTGGGAAGCTCTGGGGTGGTTTTACTGAAGAGTGGCTGAATGAGGAGAATCTTGAAAGTGAGGATCAGTCTTATCCAAGCAGATGTGGGATGGAGAGACTTTTTCTTTGAAAGGCCTTATGCAAAAGCTACAGAAATGTGACCTAGTGTGTTATAAATGCAGAACTGTGAATAATTTGAAATGGTTAGAGGACTGCACAACCATAAGGGAATTTCATGAGGTAACTTTGGGTGGATAAGCAGGAGTCCAATTTTGCAGTAACCTATATACCATTTTAAAGAGCTTGGATAAGTAACTTGGTTGGCTTTTATGTTATGACAACAGTATGGCAGGTATAGACTGGGTGCAGTGGCTCACGCCTATAATCCCAGCACTTTGGGAGGACGTGGCTGGTAGATTGCTTGAGCCCAGGAGTTCCAGACCAGCCTTGGCAATATAGTGAGACCTCATCTCTACAAATAATAATAATAATAAAATTAGCTGAGCATGATGGTGTGTGCCTGCAGTCTCAGCTACTGGGTGGGAGGCATCGCTTGAACCCAGTAGCTGGGAGGCTGAGGTGGGGGCATCGCTTGAACCTAGGAGACTGAGGCATAGAGTGAAGCAAGATCATGCCACTCACACTCTAGCATGGGTGATAGAGACATTGTCCAAAAAAAAAAAAAAAAATTGGCAGGTATTCTGAAGTGAATGGCTAGAGATAGAAAGACAGATTAGAAGAACATCCTAATACTAAGTATTTTGAGGCAAGCATTATTAAGGGGTCAAAAATAGTATTTCAGCTATTCAAGCAGGTGACAGTATTTGCAGCAAATATCTCTTACTAAGTAAGAGGCAATTGGTTTAGGAGAGTCAGAATTAATTCTCTTTGTATTTGTTCATTTCTACTCAAAGTAGGTAGTAATTATGTATGACATCTCTTAATCTGTAAACTCTTATCTTCTCTTTTCTAAGCACCACGAAAACCTACTAATCTTAGCTTAAGGAAAACGAATAACTTAAACTTCCAGTGTCTGTTAAAAGTAGTTAGTTTTGTACTCCTTGGGTTGAAGAAGGAGTTGTATGTTAAGAAAAGCCAATTTAGAAGACATGTAATTTTACAATTACTAGTATTCTCTTACTTGAATTTTAATGACGATAGTACCACTCTTTGAATTTTGTTAGGAGCTTTGTCCTCCAGTCTATAAACAGCAGTTTGAAACCATATGATTCTCTGAAATCTCTCCGTAAGACCAGCTGCAGTTCAGATGTGATCACTCATTGTTCTATAATAAGCAGCTTAGACCCAACTAGCCACCCTTTGGACTGAGACCATACAAAGCTGTTTCTGTCCCACATAGGCAGGATTCCCTGCACTCCAGACTCAGCTGCAGGGCCTGCTGAATTAATCAAAGGGTTCTTAGACCACATTCCCTAAAGACTAGTGAATTTCTATAGCGACTCCAACCCAACACTGAACTTCTTGCTCTTTTTAAATGTTCTTCTGACAGCTGGGGACCTAAGAGCTGTCTAAGTCCTGGAAGATAACTTTGGAAGAATGTTCTCAAAAGTTTATTGATGAGAAATGTAGAATTACATGTTCTTTTGGCTGTTGGAATTTATGAAAAAAAGTTAATTTGCAATTAATAGCATTGTTAAGCATTCTAGAATGTAATAGGCACTGCATTTAGTGCCTTACTTTCACTGTCACATAGTTCCAGTAAAACCTTACCAGATACTTACAATTATTTCTGTTTTACAAAGGAGGAAATGGAGAGCCTGCTGGTATATGGATGCCTTCTCCACTTAGGACAAGTGGTTCTCAGCTCTGGCTACACATTGAAATCCCCTGAATAGCTTTTCTAAAATTCAGATTTCTGGGTCTATAGCAGATAAATTTGATTAAAGTTTCTGGAGGTGTGGTCCAGGTATGATAATTTTAAAACAAAGGAAGCCTTCTTGAGTTGATTCCCATATGCAGCTAGGGTTGACAAGCTTAGTCCTGATGTGTCTGACACTCATACCTTATCAAACCGTGGTCCCTCGCTCAGCAGCATTTGGATCAGGTAAAAGCTTGTTAGAAATCCAGAGTATTGGGATTGTCCCTGACCGACTGTATTCAAATCTGAATTGTAAAAAGATCTCTAGGCAACTGTTTGTATTGCCTTTGCAACTTTCCTTTAATTCCAAAGCTATTATATAATTAAAATTGTTTATTGGGGGAATAAAAGATCATATTTGGGATAGAAAGGTCAAAACCTTTCCTCTAGAAACTCTTTCTAGCAAGAGAGAAATTTATTAAAATGCAATTTGCTACAAGCTGTGATGGAAATAATGCAAAATGTGCTGTCATGGTATAGGAGGAAATGAAAAACCGCTGTTTAGAGGAATTAGAAAATTGCCAAAAGAAGGTGACTCGAAGGCATTTCAGCCACAGAGAAAGATATAAGGAACAATTTTTAAAAGTTGCTGATATTAAAGGAATTTAAAAAGAAACACAAGCCTGTGCTTTGATAAAAATGTAATGTTTAATACACATGTATATATGTTTGATATATCATAAACTCTAACCAAAAACTGAGGACATGTCTAAACTAGAAAGGTAATATAATAATTAATGGAAGAGTTTCTTTCTCTTTTCTGGGGAAAGCAGAGTAAATTAATTATTTGTAACAACACTTTTGGGGGGTGGGAAAGACCCTGTTTTGATCAACTCTCTCTTCTTGTGGCTGTTGTGACCCTTTTCTCTCTTGATTCATCAGCTCCTTAGATACACCGTGCTTAAATTCTCTACTGGGCCCTTTCAGATGTTTCCTTTGCATTTACAAAGAACTTCTGAGTGTATCTGACCCTTTATAATCTTGGTTACCTCATCCTCGCTCTACAGCTAGGTTTCTGCTCAGAATCACTTCTAAAAAGCCCTTGCTAATTATTTGTAGTCTCAACTGGGTACCATTTCTTTGGGTCCCCATAGCATCCTGTATACATCACATTGCTGCTAATTGTCTTCTTGTCTGCTTCTCTCATTAACCAATAAATACCTTGAAGGCAAGGGCTATTTTCGGTGACTTCCATGTCTCTAGTACTTTGCATAGGATTTGATGCAATAAATGCTTTGAAATAAATAAAAGAAGTGATAACAAAAGCCTATTTTTGCCCTTAGTTGATAGTAACAAGATAATCTTTGGAGACGGCAATTAAAGATTGAAATGTTGTTAGCATTAGGAGCTAGCAAGAAAATTAGAGACTTCAACTTGTATATAACACATGCCTGGCATAAAGCAGAATTTTAGTTGTGTCAAAGTGAGAACACTCTCCTTTTATACATGAGGGCTCTCTGATTTAGGTCATGTTATAGATATGTGTCCCTGAGCATACTACTAAGAGACTATAAACTCAGATATGGATATCATTGTTCATAAATTAATAATAATTATATACCTTCCAGTTATGAAGTGCCTATGCATGTTGTGTTATAAAGTGCTTTTTACATATATGATTATATTTAATTCTCTGAAAAAATCTTAAGAGATTTGTATTACATTTGGGGACACAGATTTGGACTCAGAAATGTATAATTATAAAACACATACTTATCCCCTAGCTAGTGTCTTTTTTGCTCTGTCCTGTTGCCTTTCTTTAAGAAGCAGCTAACACCCCTTCTATTTGTCTCTTCTGGGAGATTACATGGTTAGGAATCAAGAACTTGCCTTTTGATCAGTAATTTACTGTGTGATTATATATAAATCACTGAGCCTCTCTTTCTCAGTCTACATGTTTATAGAATGGGCCTATTGAACTATATCATGGATTTATTCTTATGCAACATATATTTGAAAGGCTACTATGTGCCAGACACTGTTCTAAATGCTGAAGATATAGCATCACAAAGGACAGACAAGAACCCTAATTTCACAGAGCTTTCATTCTGGCATATCAGGCTGAAAATAAACATATTGAATAAAATCATGCAGTGATTACCATCATGAAGCCGATAAACAGAAAAACAAAGAATAATGTGGCTGGAGTGTCCTGGAATGTGGGAGACATCTATGGATGAGGTGGTCTGGAAAGTTTGCCCTGAAGAACTAACATTTGATATCTGAGAACAAAACAATAGTCAGCATGAATATATTTGAGTGTGTAGAGTTGAAGGCTGAAGGAGGCTCAAGGGTGGAAATTCTAAGGCTATGAAAATTTTGCATGTTGGAAGACCACTAAAAGACCAGTATAGCTGGTGGGAAAAGTGACAGGAGACAAGGTGAGATGTTGGCAGGTCTGGATCACGGACTTATAGTCAATGGTTTCAGACCCTTTCTCAAACACGGATGGGCAGACACTCTGCGGAAATCCACAATAATTTTTTCACATCTTTGATACATTCGATACTTTTGATACTTCCTTCCAATTCTGTGATATCTTTCATGGTTTTAGAAAATCTTTCTTTGTGAGTAGTTTCCCAGAATAGACACCAGAAACTTGCTTCAACGTTTTTTTTTTTTCTTTTATGAAGTCTTGCTCTGTCGTCCAGGCTGCAGTGGAGCGGTCTGATCTCGGTTCACTGCAACCTCTGCCTCCCGGATTCAAGCGATTCTTTCTCAGCTTCCCGAATAGCTGGGATTACAAGCATGCACCACCATGCCCAGCTAGTTTTTTCTAGGCCAGCTAGTTTTTCTCCCTTTTAAGACATGATATACATTTTTAATTATACATTGCTCAAAAACTAAGATTGGAGATGCACATTTGTTGTTTCATTGGGAAATTTTGAGAAATTGAAGCTAAATCCTTGAAATAACCATTATATCTAGGTGATGGTTATATGAAGTTTTATTGTGTTTTTCTGTCTACTTTATCTTTTGATATATTTGATTTTCTACATAATAAACACTTAAAAAGAAAACATTATGTGTTAGTCTAATGTAACCCTGTGACCTAGGTTATTCACTGGGCTTCTTTTAGCTTCAGCGTCCTTATTTGTAAAATAGAAATCAATGCCTCATAGGGTTAGGATTTTATCAGGAAATGAATGCTCTAGTGTTCTAGTGTGGACTTTAACGTACTGTTCACATGTTGAGTATTAATTAAAAAGGACTTTGTAAAAGTGTCACTCAATATTGAGTAACCTAAAAAGAAAGAGAGAGATTTATATAATTGTTTTTTGTATTAGAATAATGTAGGTCATGGAATCCGGAAGAGGGGATGGACTGCCTTTAGGAGGTGGTCACTTAAGAAATGGTGGAATGAAAGTAAGCCTAACTTGGGGCAAGAAACCCTTCATTTTCTGTGTTAGAGAAGAGAATAGTGAACTTAGTTAAATATAGATATTGTTAGGCCATTTTTACATTGCTATAGAGAAATACCTGAGACTGGGTAATTTATAAGTAGGTGTAATGGACTAATGGTTCTGCTATGCAGGAAATATGGTACAGGAATTTTTTCCTGACCCCTTCGCAGCCCTTGCAACAGGGGTGCCTTGCTTACTCAACCCATAGCTCTCATCCCATCGCAGGAGGGGGAGATTCCAGTGAGTGGGTGCAGGAGTTTGGGCAAGTGCTTCTGAGCACCAGCAGGAGCAAAACTCTGTGTGGGTCCCTAGGGCAGCATCTGCTGTGGAGTACTCATGACCCCTGAAGCCCTAGAGGGCATGTGTTACAGTATGCTCTTTTAGCTTTGCTGTGGCAGATGGCTTAAGTGTTAAATAGCTCAGTGGGCCCTCTGTCCTTTTGTGTGAGGTGATTGCTTTCTGCCAGTGAGAGCAGAGGGTAAGTATGACAGCCTTTAGCATGGCACCTGAGCTCTTTTTTGGCATCCAGGAAAAATCAGATCACACAAACAAATTGAAGGGTGAATACAGAGGACTTTATTGCTGATGGAAGTGGCTCTCAGTGGGAAGGGGAGTTGGAAAGGGGAGGGAGCACGAAGGTATTCTTGCCCTGAAGTCCAGTCATCTCCTGCTGGACTCTTCTCCAAAGTCATGCCATCAAGATGTCCCTCTAAAATCACACTGCCTCTCTCTGACATTCAACTGCTGCTTCTTTTCTCCTCTTCTCTGCTCTCTGCAGTGAAGCCTGGGGTTTTTATGGGTACAGGATGGGGATGGCGTGGGTCAGGGTGGTTTTGGAAAAGGCAACATGTGCATAGGAAACCAAGAATGAATGTCCTCACTTTGGGCCGTGGTTCCAGGTTCAAGCAGGGGGCTTCACCAGGGACCATGCCCTTTTCTGCCCAAAATTATTTTTGCATCTTGTTCCTGTCACTGGCATCTACTTGGCTTCTGAGGAGGACTAAGGGAGCTTTTACTCATGGCAGAAGGTGAAGTAGGAGCAAGCACAACACATGGTGAAAGCAGGAGCAAAAGAGAGAGAGTGGAAAGGTGCCACACAATTCTAAACAGCCAGATCTCAAGAGAGCTCACCATCACAGGGCAGTGCCAAGGGGATAATGCTGAACCATTCATCAGAAATTCAATCCTGTCATCCAATCACCTCCCACCAGGCTCCACCTCCGCTACTGGGGATTATAATTCAACATGAGGTTTAGACAGGACAACATTCAAACTATATCACAGAGGTTAACTGTTTCTTGGTTGGGAGACAGTCTTAATACTATCTTACTTAATATCAGTTTTGCAAGTGAGGTTTTTAAAAATTAGATCAGTTGTCACTGGAGAAAGGAGACTAGACTGGCTTCTCAGGTCGTCTCATGGGAATTTATATCTGCTATAAAGGATTGATTTTCAGAAAATACATGATGAAAACTTAATTCTAACTAATAATAGATAACAATTTTTTCAGAGTTTACTATGTGCCAAGAAATGTAGTTTTTAATATAAATTATCACATTTCTTTCTCAAAAGTACATAATTAAAGAGTGCTATTTTTTTTTCATTACATGGATGAGATAGGAAATTATGGCTCAGAGAGGTTAACACTTTGCCTAAAGTCGTATAAACTAAACAAGGGATAGAACTAAGACTAGAAATTGCTAGTCTAACTCTCTGACTTGTGGTTTTTGTTATACCATATTAAATTCTTTATAGCAATTATTTCAGCCTAGGCTCTTAGCATTTTTTTTTGTTTCCTTACCTTTTCCTTTATACTCTTTAGTGTGCTATATGAGCAGATATATTTGAGATTTTATTATAACAGTCCGAAAAGTCCATTTTTAGAAGTAGAAAGAACATAAACAAAAATATATAAATACAAGTAAGTAATTAAATATTGGGTTAGTTATGGCTAGAGCTGCCATAACAAATATCATATACTTGGTGGCTAAAAGTAACAGACTTTTATTCTCTCACAGTTCTGAAGGCCAGAAGTTCTAAATCAATGGTTGGTTTCATTAGGCAGGGTTGGTTTCTTCATGATTCTCTCCTGGCCATTGGTGGTGGCTGGCTGTTCTTGGCCCATGGCGCCATGACTCCAGTCTGTGTCTATATTTTCACATGGCTTTCCTCCATGTCTCTTTGTGTCTTAGATCTCTCTTTCCTTTTATAAGGACACTGATCACTAGATTTAGGGCTCACCCTAAATCCAGGATGATATTATCTGAATTCTTTTTACCTTGTTAAGTACATCTACAAAGAGTCTATTTCCAGAAAAGGTCACATTCACAGGTACCAGGGATTAGGATTTAGACATATCTTTTGGGGACCACTATTTTTAAATCTTACTATTTTAAGCTTTTGTATTAAAGAAACAGATGAAAGAGTACAATACAAACTTGGATTTCAGATCATCTCAATTCACAGATTACTTAGTTTTAAGTGTGTTTTATAGAGGGATGTTATTGTATATACATTATCTTAATGTCACAGATATCCAATGATTTTAGACTTAAATCCCATTTTCTGTTCGCTACTTCTCTAGTAAAAATGTATGCTGATCTATATCTTTTTGTTATTCCCAGGATATACTATTACATATGTACATTTAGTTCCTCTCACTTGAAAATTTGATATTTGAAATTTCTTTTAAGAGACTCTAAATGGTAAAAATATAACACATATTTCAGTCCTAAAACAGTTACATAGAATGTTTCATGACATAAATTCTAGCACTAAATTTAGTGAAGAGATAATGAATTCAAAAGATTGTCATGGCAAAGAAAATGTAATAATATTTGGTGATTGACTAAAATTGGAAACACCTTAGGGAGAAAAGGCAAAGACACACTAAAGTTGACATAAAAAAAATCTGGATGTTATTCTCAGCATTTTGCAAATTCTGTTCCTCTACAGAGTGGAACAGCAAAAAAAAAAAAACATCTAGAGAATAAAATGCATGGAAAGGTAACCACAGCCTGTTGATTGTTAAGCACCCTGGAGAGGGTGGTTCATGAAGAAATGTGGACAGCAAATTTGGAAAGTGCTTTTAGAGATAAAATATGAAAAGCCATCAATATGTTTTATTTTTTTGACACAAACTTAAAATGTTTGTTTTTAGACAGTTTAGTGGCACATTGGGGGGAGATGTTAACTGAGCAATAAAAGCTAGTAGTGTATGTTCTCTGGTCTGATAGGATCATGACTATAGTTTATAAGGTTGCAGTAAAAGATTCTTAAAGTGAATTACAAAAAGATGCACATCTACTTAAACTATTTTATTTTAACTAAAAGCTTATACAGATGTATTTATCTGTGAAACTTCTTGTAAATTAAGGCTTTTCTTTGAGCATGATTCTGCTAATTGGAGTTCTACAAAGACTTTCTTATGTGACGAATACCCATTACAGATAATCCCATTACTTCTTCAAAGGGTGGGAGAACTTAGGGACACCTATACTGTGATCTAAGTACAAATTTCTTCTATGTTTTAATAATTTCCTCTCAACTTTTTATTTTTTATTTTTGAGACAGAGTGTCTCTCTGTCGCTCAGGCAGGAGTGCAGTGGCGTGATCTCGGCTCACTGCAACTTGCACCTCACAGGCTCAAGCAATTCTCCTGCCTCAGCCTCCTGAATAGCTGGGACTGTGGGCATGTGCCACCACACTGGCGAATTTTCGTATTTTTAGTAGAGATGAGGTTTCACCATGCTGGCCAGGCTGGTCTTGAATTCCTGACCTCGAGTGAGGCCCTGCCTCAGTCTCCCAGAGTGCTGTGATTACAGGTGTGAGCCACCATGCCTGGCCTTCTCAATCTTTTATAGCCTGGCACTCTCAACCTTTTATAGCTGTCTTGCCTATACATAATGTGGCAGTAGGGAGTAAATACCTGACTAAATTGTGATTTGATTAGAAAGGAGGAATGAGGATGTAGGCTTGTTAGGCAGCCAACTGGTTTTATTACAGTAAGCATATGAAATAATTAGTGGAAGAGAACTACTTGAATATCAGTGGGCAAAGTCAAGTAATTCTGAGTGTTCAGATAGCTGTGGGCACCAGTAGGTGTGGTTGACACTTTAATGGAGTGAATCAGTCTGGTGAGTGGTGAGCTGGTTAAGTGGAACTTTGTTTTGAGAACATCTATTCTTCTAATTGTGCTTTAAAAGTGTTGTAAAAAGCTCACATAGAATTTGAGGGGAAAGGATTTGCAGAGCCAATTAGATATCAGTAAACTTTCAAGGACAAGATAGTAGAGGGATTTATGGTGAGTGCTTGTTTGTTTTGCGGGCTTAAGAAATTATTAATTCCTGGCATTTATATCACAGACTGAGATGATGAGAGAGACATTTCCAGAATTGATTTCAGATCATGAGAGAACATGTCTGTGACCATTGGGTCATTCAGTTATGCAGCTATTCTTGGGTGGTCTTTTCCTTGATGGCCATTCTCATCTCAATTGAGTGCAGGTCAGAGACTGATTATAGACATGACATTCTTGGATTGTTTAAAACTGTACTCATTGCAAATATACACATGCACATACATATGTACACACAGATACATATACACACATATATGTACATATACACACATTTAGTTTAAGATCAAATTCTTTGAACAGGTAGGTCTTTCAAAATAAATAGATATGTCTTGCAATATGCTTTTTTTTTAAAAAAAATAAAGGTATAGCTTTGTTATTACAAAACAATTAGGATCTTATTTTCATGAGTAGTAAATTTTATGCCAAAACTCTGAGCAATGCCTATAAATCTCTCTCTTCTTTAAAACCACAGAGTATGTACTTCAGGCTCTGACAAAGTTACACTTTTTGCTAACTAAGTGTGGTTTTGAAAAAATTGTATCCTTTGTTGTTTTCATGACCAGTTTGTAGAGCTAACTGTGAAGCAGATGGACCCCCTCCTCTCCAAGCAGTTATGCAAGACCGTTTCCCTAAATCATTACCATCACACCACTCTCCTAAGCATTTTGCACTGTTTGCCAGTTGCTCCTGCTGTCACAAAAGAACACTTGAAATGGTTTTCAAGATCATTTTTCCTTTACTGATTTTCACAAATCCTTCCAACAAGCTTCACTACACACCTTAGGTAGCCCGTGAGGTTTCAAGGAGACTATGAGAGGACAAGAAATAGGATAGAATGGTATCTAGGAAGCCAGGGGAACAATTTTTTTTTTAAAGAAATAATAAGCATGGTTAAGTGCTGAAGGGTTAAGTAAAGTAGTGACTAAATATGATAATTGGATTGAGAGTTTGGGGATTACTGTTGCCTACTGAAAATAGTTTCAGCTGGGTGGTGAATATAAACTGAGTTGATGTGGTTTCACCAGCATTTATGAAATGAGAAAATGTGAATATTGTATGCAGAACACTCTATCAAGAAGGGTAGCTGTGAATAGAAAGGGGCAGGATTTCATTTAAGATGAAAAAGTTGCAAGTGCATTTATAAAGAAGTCCATAAAGAGGGGTAGAAGTTTAGAAGAGAGGAGAAAATGAAGTACTTTGGTCTTATTCCCTCTTCCTTAAAGTACTTCTATTCATTCATTCAAATCCTTATTAATAATACTTCTTGAATGTACTGAATGTGTCACTCTGTCTGATGTTACAGAAAGAGAGCTATAAGGTCATGTTCATGCTCTTTGGAATTTATAGTTTAATGCTATAACCAAAGATATGAATAGGGGTCATTTCCGCTTTGAGCATGTTCTTTAGTAGAGTTTAATATGGCCTATTTTTATGGAGGGTCATGATTTAATAGACCTATCTAGATAAATCACAGAGTGGAACTTCCTTTTAACCTTGACAACAAAACCAGAAATAATTCCTGTCTTATAGGCTCTAGTCCCAAGCAATATTTTATCGGGATTTTATTAAAATGATGTAGCTTAACCCAGGGTAGGGTTAAATCCATGTAATGACCAGTTGTGTTATAATGGGATGGTTGGCTTGAGCCCAAAAATAACTTTACAAGGCATTGCAGAAATCTCTAGGTTAAAGGGATCTCCTGATGAGTCAAGTAATGCCTCCTAATGCTTACTACAGTAGTCGTTTAGTGGCTTCTAGATTTAAGTATAAACAAATTTTTAATGAAGACCAGGTTTTTAGAATTTTTTACAACAGTAATCTTCTTACATGGTGTATATTTGATAAATCTTAGTACAAAAATTGTTTTACTTTTAGAGAGGGCATTGTTCTTTACAGCTGATAAAGCACTGCAGTAAGCATCATTGCTCTTGATTCACAGTATTGCTGATCCATAGGCAGAGGAAGTGCTGTTATTATTTTATCACAAATAAGAAGATTGGGACTCAGAAAAATTAGTAACAATAGCTGACATGTTGAGGACTTTTACATCAGGCATAGTGTTAAGAAATTTATGCTGTCAAAGTTATTATTAACTGAATTTTGTTGTTGAGAAAATTGAGACGAGGTTAAGTAACTAATTCAAGTGTATGTGACTGGCAAGTAACAGAGCCATAGAACAAACCCGGGAAGACAGACCCAACAGCACTCTGAGCTCCTAATTGTAATGCTGTACTGCTTTTTTAGGGTCTTCACACATAAGTAGTTTTTTTTTTTTCTTCTTCTTCTATAGGTCTTGCAACTTCTAATAAAAACAAACTGTCAGGAACAATGCATTTATTATGTAATATAGTTATCTAAATAGTCTCCAAAATGTCCAAAAAAGTCGGTGAACTAACTTAATGTCGTCATGTTTTAATTGGCACAGGTGTAGTTTCAGCTTCTAGTCGGTGACTATTTCAAAGCATTTTCTTTTTTTTAGAGACAGGGTCTTGCTCTGTCCCCCAGGCTAGAGTGCAGTAGTGTGATCATGGCTCACTGTAACCTTGACTTCCCAGGCTCCAGTAATCTTCTCACCTCAGCCTCTCGAGTAACTGGGACTAAAGATACATGCCACCATGCCCAGCTAATTTCTTTTTCCATTTGTTGTAGAGACGCATTTTGCCATGTTGCCCAGGCTATTCTAGAATTCCTGATCTCAAGCAGTCTGCCCACCTGGGCCCCTCAAAGTGCTGGGATTCCAGGCATGAACCACCATGCCTGGCCTCAAAGCATTTTTGTTTTTTGTTTTAATTGAAGAATTGATAGTCATTATCTACTGACATGAATTATGAAACTTACTATCAACTGGAGTCAGCTTATGTTTATTTTCCTATGAAAATATTCTAGATGTAGTAGATACCAAAGAAATAAAATTCAATGTGGAAGCAATTTATTGTGAAACTTTTGGGAAACTCATGAATTTATAAAGCAATTGAGAAACTTGTTATTCAAAATACTTCTTTTAATGAAACTGTTAATTGATATAATAGGGGAGATATTAATGTTACACAATTTCTCTGATACTATTTTAAAATATATTTAAGAGAAATGCTAAACACGTTGAATAATAATCTGCTTTTAATAGATTCAGTGTCAGACCCAGAATATCAGGAAGTTATTGGCCATACTTGTAACTATTAACTGAAGCATTGGCCTTTTAACTGCCTTTACCAACTAACAGGCCCCACTGAAACATGTCATCCATCCAGTAATTGCTGGAGTATGATATGAATCTTGCCTCATGATTTGAATGTAATATGTTGCTGATATTACTCAGTGTTCATGTAGATTAAACATATATTTATGAAAACACCAATTCCAGTCCCATAAGGATGGGTATAAGGAGGATGTTTCAGATAAAAGCATAGTCTTGAATTTGCTTTCTAGCTATGTATCTGAAATAAACAAGCAGAATATCAGAATACTGAAAGGTAAAAATGAAGAGTTACAAGGTTTTATTTTGAAATAATTATAATTCCATAAGAGTTTCAAAAATACAAGAGACGTCCCATATACTCATCACCTAGCTTCTCCACTGGTAACCTCTTACCTGACGATAGTACTACTCTGGGACTTGAGCACCTGTGGATTTTGTTATCTGTAGGGGGTCCTGGAACCAGTCCCTCTCTGACACCAAAAGATGACTGTACTTTATCTTCTATCAGTAAATGATCTAAAGCAACAGTTGCCTAAGTATGAACCAATTTTGCAAACATTGAAAAGTAATACCTTTTTCTCAATAGTAGATGGAAATTATTGAAACTTCTGACATATCAAAAAGTGAATATTAAAATCTATTTCAAAAAGAAAACTCATTCACATTTCATCTTAAAAAAACAAATTAACTCTGAATGCATTCAAAGTTTTATTATTATTTTAAACTTTCACAATTCAAACAATGTCTCTACAAATGCATGATTTTAATGTATCATGTTCTGTTTATGCATTATCAGTTGACAGACATTTGGGTTGTTTCCACTTTTTGTCTATTCTGAAATATGCTGCTCTGAACATTTGCATACAAGTTTTTTATGGACATAATTTCTCTTGGGTATAAACCTTAGAGTGGAATTACGGGGTCATATGGTAACTCTATGTTTAATATTTTAAGGGCTTGTCAAACTGTTTCCCAAGTGGCTGCAGTATTTTACAATCCCATCAACAATATACGAGGGTCCCAATTTCTCCTCATGCTTGCCAATGAGAAATGCTTGTTAATGTGTTGTAATTTTAACCATCCTAGTGGGTGTCTAGTGTCATCTCTTTGTGGCTTTGATTTGCATTTCTCTGATGAATAATGATATTGGGTATCTTTTCAAGTGCTTATTAAGTATCTGTATATCTTCTTTAGACAAATGTGTACTCAGAGCTTTTGCTCAGTTTTTAATTGTCTTTTTATTGTTGAGTTGTTCTCTGTCAGATGTATGATTTGCAAATATTTTCTTCCATTCTGTGGATTGCCTTCACTTTCTTGATGCTGTCCTGTGAAACATAAAATTTTACATTTTGATGAAAACATTCGATGATGTATTTATTTTTCTTTTATTGTTTTTCTGTTTGGTTTCTTTCTTTTTTTTTGAGATGGATAAGAAATAACCTAACAAACCGTAAGTTATTGGTCAATTGGGTTTCATAAAGGGAGGTTTCTTCAAGTGGTCAGGAAGCCAAGGAAGAAAAAGAAATACATATGGTAGTCTAACTTGTTGATTAAGTCTTTAAAAGTGCTTTTACATATCTTTCTTTCTTTTTTTTTCCTTTTTTTGAGACAGCCTCGCACTGTCTCCCAGGCTGAAATGCAGTGGCACAATCTCGGCTCACTGCAACCTCCGCCTCCTCGATTCAAGTGATTCTCCTGCCTCAGCCTCCCAAGTAGCTGGGACTACAGACATACGCCACCAAACCTGACTAATTTTTTTTTTTTTGGTATTTTTTAGTAGAAATGGGATTTCACCATATTAGACAGGCTGGTCTCAAACTCCTGACTTGTGGTCTGCCCACCTTGGCCTCCCAAAGCTCTGGGATTACAAGCATGAGCCACCGTGCCTGGCCTGTTTGGTTTCATATGTGGGAAACTATTGCCTCAATCAAAGTTATGGAAATTATGGCTATGTTTTCTTCTAAGAATTTTACAGTTTTAACTGTTTCATTAAGGTCTATAAACTATTGTCAATGAAATTTTGTGTATAATATGACATAAGGGGTCCAACTTCATTATTTTACATGTGGATACCCAGTTGTACCAGCACCATTTGTTCAAGACTATTATTTACCTAAAGATTTGTCTTGGCACATTTGCAAAAAATCAATTGAATACAAATATAAGGATTTATTTCTGGATTTTCAATTCTGCTTCATTTATGTATAGGTCTAGATTTATGCCAGGGCTACACTGTCTCAATTACTTTAGCTTTGTAGTAGATTTTAAAATTGGGGAGTGAGTGTGTCTTCCATTTGTTTTTAGTATTATTTTGTCCACTTTGGGTTCCTTATATTTCTATACGAATTTTGGGATCAGCTTATTAGTTTCTTCAAGAAAGGCATCTTTTAATAAGGATTTGCATTAGATCTGTATATTAAGTTGGAGAATATTGTCATTTTAACAATATTAAGTCTCCAGTGTATAAACCTAGGATATCTTTACCAGATCTTCTTTAATTTCTTTTAACAATATGTTTTTAGTTTTTAGTGTACACATTTTGCACTTTTTTTATTACATTTGTTTTACATAGTTTCTTCTTCATGTTAATTTTATTTTCAAATGGTTCGCTGCTTATGTGTAGAAATAGAGCCAATTTTTATATATTCACTTTACTGAACTTTTTTATAGTTGTCATAGGTTTCTTTATTGTTTTTACTGGAATGTCTATATATGGGATCTTGTTATCTGTGAATAGAGATAGTTATAGTTCACCCTTTTCAATGTTGATGGCTTTTATTTTTTTTCTTAACTAAATTTGAAGATTTGAATTTTACAGTATAACAAGTTTAATTGTAACAAATTTTTGAAAAACATGATTATATTTATTTGGGCATCTGTTCCAATACACATTTTCTGTACAACAGTAGATGAACCTGGAGAATAAATCATCCTCATTTTGTAACACAGATGTCAGCAAATATTTATTGAATGCAACATTATTTCCAGGAATGTACTAGGCATTGTACAGTTTAGAAAGAAATTGGGCTTTGTCTACAAACTTAATTTCATAGAGAAGCCAGAACATGCTTGAAATTGCTCCAAGGAAAATATAGTACTGAATACAAATTTAGTGGATATTGGTGAAACTAATATGATGTTTCACACTAATGTAAGTATTAGGACTATGGAAAAGGCAGAAAATAGCCTTATTATTTTAAAAAATGGTTGGAATTTGACAATTAGCTCTTAGATGAATAAATCAGAGGATGGAATATAGTTTGAGTAGGACTTAAAAAAAGAAGACTAATTCAAAGTATTATGATTAGGCAGATATAAAATGGAAAGTTTAATTTTAATGAAACTAGAAAAGAAGGATAAGGAGGAGAGAACTTTTGAGAAAGTTAGACAAGAAAATAAGACTTGATGAAAGATTGATTATGGCAGAATGAAGGAAAGCAAAAGATAAAAAATATGAGAGGCAGTCCTATGAATTGTCCAGCGTCCGAAAGCTATGAGTGATAAAACTAGTACTTAAAATATACCCTTCTGACTCCAAACCCTATGTTTATACCATGCTGCATTTCAGGAGTAACTGTGAGGGGTAGTAGGCTTTAATACATCCTCCCAAATTTCAAATTGCATACCATTAATCCAACTAATGTTCCTAAGTAGGAAAAATGTTAAATTTTTTACTGAAGTGCACCTTATAGCACAATAATATAAACTCTTGCTTCATGCGTTCTAGAGGTTATAGACAAGGATGCTCATAAGTAGAAATACATTTTTAAAAATATAAATATATTTTAATATATTTATATTAAAATTTACATTAATATATTCCAGTCTTCAATATGAAACTTGTGCATTCATTAGATTTTTGAGATTGTGTTACATCAATTTTAACATCAAAATGTAATCATACTACAGGAGCAAATTATGCTTTTCTTCAATCATTTAATGTGAGAATTCCTGTACATACTTCATGTATTAATTTCCTCATTTATTCAGTAAATATTTGCTTCATATTTACTCCATTCCATTCCCCATGAGGAGAAATTATGGCTTTGTTAAGCAAAGAAGGCAACTTGCTTCTTATACTAGCTCTGTTTCTCTTAACTATCCCATTTTTTTTTCCTCTGGCACTTTTCCTTGCTTGCCAGAGAAAATCTGAGTTTGCACTGAGGTTCTGGAGCCCTGTCAAATTAGCTCTCTTTTCACTTCTGGATGTAAACCAATTTGAATGATAAATTGCATCATCATCTGTAATGGTTAATTTTATGTGTCAACTTGACTAGGTCATGGTGTGCCTCCACATTTGGTCAAATGTTATTCTGGATGTGTCTGTGAAGGTGTAAGTATGAGATTGACATTGAATTGAATAAAGCAGATTGCCCTCTCTTATGTGGGTGGGTCTCATCCAATCAACTGGGGTGTGAATATAACAAAAAGGTTGAGTGACATGGAATTTCTTCTGCCTGGCTGCATGAGCTGGAACATTGGTCTTTTTTGGCCTTCAGACTTGGACTGATATCTTATTGGCTCTTCTTGGATCTTGAGCCTGAAGGATTTTGGACTAGAACTTACTCCATTGGCTTTCCTGATTCTCAGGCCTTTGTACTCAGACTGAAACCACACTGTCAGGTTGCTGACGATAGATCTTGGGATTTCTTAGCTTCCATAATTGCATGAGTCCATTTGCCCATTCCTTGAATTTCTTCTCTCCCTCTTACTCACTCACTCTCTTACACACACACACACACACACACACACACACACACAGTTCTGTTTTTTGGAGAGCCCTAATAGTCACATGGCTTATAATACATTTAAATTTACATTTATGTTTTAGTAAGGTTTCAGTATGACCACATATCTTCAGTCTTCAGCCTCACTATTGAGGAACTGATGTAGGAAAATGTTAAGTATATAAATGCCAAAATTCTATATTCATTATACATTGAACTTCCAAGAAAATGCTGCAAAGTAGAAGTGAAGAAGTTTTCTAATTCACAAAACAAGATGCCACTGATGTAGCACTTATATATACTTATAATACATTTCTAATTTAAATTAAACCATTAAATAAAGTCATTTTCCCCACTGAAATTGATCGATAAGGTTTTGGCAGAAACATGAGATAATTTTGTATGCAAAACTCATGATAAACGATAAACCTGGAAAATTCATGGGATAATAAGTAAGTAGGTACACAATGGCAGAGTAACACACTCTGAGTATTTACTATCTGGCAAATGCTTTATGAGGTTCTTTACATGAATTATTCTAGGAAAAGACTTGGTAGGGATAAGGAAAACTTAAATCTGTAATGGGAAATACTAAATAAAAAATGAAAGCTGACATTTATCAAGTGCTCACTACATGCCAGTTTCTATATTTTTTCTGTTTACTAACTCATTTATCCTCACAACAGGTTAAGATGATCTTATTTTAACCCTACAAGTGAATAAAATGAGACACAGAGATTTTAGTTAACTTGCAAGGCCACTCTCTGGGAAACAGTGTCTTGGTGGAGCCACTCCACTCCATTTTCCCTTAGAAATCATTGCCATGTGCTGCCCATAGGGGCCTGAGTTGAAGCTGCATATTGCCTCTGAGCAAACAGTGCTTTAGCAAAGCTACTGCATCTACTCATTGTAGTCACTGTGCCTGAGCTTAGATAGCACCCTGCATTCCAGAGAAAAGATGCCTTGGCTGCTTACAGCAGTCAAAGCTGTCTGTGCCTGAGCTGAAGCATTATCATGGCTCCTGGGAAAACAGTATCTTGAATGCCCAGAGTAGACATGCTCCACTCGTCCTTATGACTATCTTGAAGTAGCACCATTCCTCCTAGGAATTGGTGCCTTGGCCTCCCAGAGTGGTCATGTACCCTTATACTCAAGCTGAAGAGGTGCCCTGTATCCCAGAGAAACAGTGCTTTGGTCACCCAGAGCAGACACCTTACCCCTCCTACCCCTACAGAGGACCTCACTAATGAAGTTAGTTACATAATACCTCCTGAGAAACTGGTGCCTTGGCCAAGAAGAACAGCTATGCATCCCAGGACAGAGCTAACATGGTACCCTGAGTCCCAAAGAAACAGTGCAGTGGCTGTACTGAGACACCTTGTCCTACAGAACAAATAGCGCTAGGACCCTGGTTCCCTGGAGCTGGACTAGCCATCTAGAGATGAACTGCTGAGAAATTTCTCTACCCAGGGAGTAGCGTCATAGCTGTGCTGCTCCTTACTCCCCAGGACCCAAGCAACAGCTACACTACACCATTCTGGGGTCATTGTTGACACTACATTTGACTTCATAGAGTCTGGGATACGGCCAGTTTTCCCATCTCAGAGTCCAGAGTCACCACTACATGGTGCTTTATCCCCCCAGGATCTGAGTTGTCTCTGAGGCCTGTGGGTTCTGGTTCCCAAACTCCCCAGGTCCAAACCTTCAGAGCATTTCAGGGGCAGAAATGCCCTGGTGGTTTGGACCTGGGGAGCAGAGTAGGGCTAGGAGAGAGTCTCAGCTACAACCAAATTCCCTTGGTCTGAAGTGCTAGGGGTGCCTCAGAGTCATGGATGCTACCTCTGTGGGCAGTCTACATCCAACACTGTCACAGAGAGTGAATCTGTACCCCAGGACCCATATGCCACAGCAGGTTCATGAGGACCTGAGCCTAGGACCTCAGCTTCACAGCTACTCTGAGTAACTGCACCCTGAAACCCAGCACTACTGTAGCTACTTGTAGGCCATGTCAAACTTGACACCAAGATGGATCTCCATGGGTAAGTCTCCCCACAGTGGGGAAAATAGGAAGATCTAATAGACATTTTCAGACCATTTTATCCAACATATGCAGAATATACATTTTTTTTAAGCAGGACATGAAACATTCTCCTGGATAGATTATATGTTAGGTGAAAAAATAAGTTCCATCAAATTCAAAAATCAAAATGATGTCAAGTATCTTCTCTGTTTGTAACACAGTAAATTTAGAAATCAGTAACAAGAGCTTTCAAAACTGTACAAATACATGGAATTTAACACATGCTCCTGAATGACCAATAGATTAATGAGAAAATTAAGAAGGGAATTAAAATATTTCTGGAAACAAATGAAAATAGAACTGCAACATACCAAAACCTATGGGCTATAGTAAGAGTATTAAGAGGAATGTTTATAGCAATAAGTGTCTACATCCAAAAAGTAGAAAGATTTCAAAGAAGCAACCTAATGGTGCAACTCAAGGCACTAGAAAAGCAAGAACAAACCAAACCCAAAATTAGAAGGAAGAAATAAAGATTAGCAGAAATTAAGAGAATTGAGACTAAAAAATAAAAAAATCAACGAAATGGAAAGTTAATTTTCTTAAAAGATAAATAAAATCAACAAACCATTAGCTAGACTAAGGAAAAAAAGGATAAAATACCAAATTATATAAAATCAGAAAAAGCACACAATACAACTGATATCACACACATACAAAGAATTATTAGAGACTATTATGAACAACCATATGCGAACAAATTGGAAAACCTAGAGGAAATAAGTAAATCCCTGGGCACATAGAATCTATTAAGACTGAACTAAAAAGAAATAGAAAATTTGAACAGACCAATAATGAATAATGTGATCAAAACCATAATAAAAAGTATCCCAACAAAGAAAATTAGTAGGTTTCACTGCTGAATACTGTCAAACTTGTAAAGAATAACTAATACTAATTCTTCTCAAACTTAAAAAAATTGAAGAGGAGAAAATTCTTCCTGTTTCCATGAGACCAGTATTATCCTGATATCAATACCTGACAAAGATCCAACAAAAAAGAAAGCAATAGCAAAAACAGCTTATAAAATAATAGCAAACCAGTATTTTGAATCGAATTAAACAGCAAATAAAAAAGATTATATATGATTATCAAGTGGAAATTAACCTGGGATGCATAATGGTTCAGTATAATCAAATCAATATACAGGATACATATCAACAGAATGAAAGACAAAAACCATGTGATCATTTCAATGGACACAGAAGAAGCATTTGATAAAATTCAGCACATCTCTTCATGATAAAAACTCTCAACAAATTATGTATAGGAGAAACATACCTCAACATAATAAAAGCCATGTATGACAAACCCACAGGCATATATGACATATTGAATGTAGACAAGCTGAATTATTTTACCCTAAGTACTAGAAGAAGACAAAGATGTCCATTTTCATCAGTTTTATTCGACATAGTACTGAAAGTCCTAGCAAGAGCAATAAGTCAAGAGAAGGAGAAAAAGGGCATCCAAATAGGAAAGAAGTACGTGAAATTGTTTCTGTTTGCTGATGACATGTTCTTATACAGAGAAAAATCTAAAATCTCCACCAAAAAGCTCTTAGAATTGATAAACAATTCAGCAAAGTTACAGCATATGAAATCAGCACTGGAAAAATCAGTAGTGTTTCTAAACATCCACAAAGAACTAGCTGAAGAAGAAATCAGGAAAGCAAACCCATTTACAACAGCTACAAAATAATACCTAGGCATAAATTTAACCAAGGAGGTGAAATATCTCTACAAGGAAAACTACAAAACATTGATGAGAGAAATTGAAGAGGATACGCACACACACACAAATGGAAAGACATCCATGTTTATGGATTATCACAATTAATATTGTTAAAATGACCATGCTACCCAAAATGATCTACAGATTCAATGCAGGTTTTTCAAAATACCAATGACATCCATCACAGAAGTAGAAAAAATATTCTGAAATTCTTATGAAACTACAAGAGACCCCAAATAGTGAAACAATCCTAAGCAAAAGAACAGTCAGAGGTGTCAAACTTCAAAATATACTATCAAGGACTAATGACTGAAATATACTATAAAGTGGTGGTAACCAAAACAGCATGATACTGACATAAAAACAGACACATAGACTAATGGAACAGAATAGAGAATCCATAGGTAAATCCATGTATTTACAGACAACTGATTTTCAACAGATGTACCAAGAACATTTATTATAGAAGTGACAGTTTCTTCAATAAATCTTGCTGGGAAAACAGGATATCCACATGCAGAAAAATAAAACTGGACCCCTATTTTTCATGATGTACAAAGATCAACTCAAAATGGACTAAAGACTTATATGTAAGTTCTGAAAGTATGAAACTACTAGAAGAAAACATAAGGGAAACACTTTAGGATATTGGTCTGTGCAAAGATTTTATGAACATACCTCAAAAGCACAGGTAACCAAAACAAAAAATAGACAAATGGGATTATATCAAACTAAAAGTCTTCTGTACAACAAAGGAAACCATCAGCAAAGTTAAGAGACAACCTACAGAATGGAGAAAATATTTGCAAATCATTGATCCAATAAGGGATTGATATCTAGAATATATAATAAACTCAACAGCTTACAAACAAATAATCCCTTTTTAAAATGGACAAATGATTTGAATAGACATTTCGCAAAAGAAGGTATACAAATCAGAAGTAAGTAATGAGAAAATGCTCTACATCACTAGTCATCAGGATAGTGCAAATCAAAACTGTGATGTCATTTCACCACGGTTAGAATTACTATAAATAAAAGACAAAAATAAAAAATGCTAGTGAGGATGTGGAGCGGGTACTTTTATACTCCTTTGGTGGGAGGATAAATTAGTACAGATATCATAGAAAACAGTCTAGAGGTTCCTCAATAAACTAAAAATAGAATTACCATATGATCTGGCAATCTCACTATTGGGTATACCTAAAGGAAAGAAGATTAGTATATTAAAGAGATATTTGCATTTCCATGTTTATTGCAGCACTAACCAAGATATGTCCGTTAACACTAGCCAAGATATGGAATTTGTCTCAGTGTATATAAACAGATGAATAGATAAAGAAAATTTGGTATATATGTACAATACAACATGCAGCCATAAAAAAATAATGAAATCCTGGCTGGGCATGGTGGCTCACACCTGTAATTCCAGAACTTTGGGAGGCTGAGGCAGGTGGATCCACTTGAGGAGTTCAAGACCAGCCTGACCAAATGGCAAAACCTTGTCTCTGTTTAAAAAAATACAAAAGTTAGCAGTGCATGGTGGCACACGCCTGTAGTCACAGCTACTCAGGTGGGTGAGGCACAAGAATTGCTTGAACCTGGGATGCAAAGGTTTCAGTGAGCTGAGATCACTCCATTGCACTCCAGCCTGGGTAACAGAGCAAGATTCCGTCTCAAAACAACAACAATAACAAAAATCTTGTCAGTGAAATAAGCCAGGCAAGAAAAGATAAACACTACATGTTTTCACTTATACCTGGAAGCTAAAACAGTTGTTTTTATAGGAGTAGAGAGTAGATTAGTGGTTACTAGGGACTAGGAAGGATAGAGGAGATGGGATAGGGATTGGCTGGTTCATAAATACGAAGTTTACAGTTAGATAGAAGAAAAAAGTTCTGTTGGTTTTTGGCACTGTGGGGTGACAATAGCTAACAATTGTGTTATTTTTGAATAGGTAGAAAAGAGGATATTGAATGTTGCCAACACTGAGTTGATAAACATTTGAGGTAATGGATATGCTAATTAACCTGATTTGATCATTACACATTGTATACATGTATTGAAATAGTACAATGTATCCTATAAATATGTAAAATTATGCGTCAATTAAAACCTGAGAGGTATAAAGTACTAATTTTTCAAGAGACATACTTAGTGAGGTTGGAATAAGATTTGCGCAGTATAAGATTTAAGACTGCCTAATTCTTGGACAGTATTTTATATGAAGAAAATTAAATAAAAATAAGTTTGCTTCAAATAAAATTCAGTTTGAAAACATCTGTTGTAATAGTCATCAGTTTAATTAAAGGTATGAACATTGGACATCCATTTCTAATGAGTAAGTATTAAGTAACTGACACATTAAAAAATAAGTAATCAGTCCAGCATCTTAATTATGTGGCTGAAATGGACTCAACTTTGTATTCTTTTGGTACACAAATTCTTTTTATTTTGGGAAAAAAAAACAAAAATTTCTTTTGATTTTCAAAAAATGCTAACATAATTATGATAAGGCAATGATAACGAAGCATTGGAAGCCTTAACAGGTGTAAGTTTTTCACAGATAAATTTAGTATTTTAAGTTGGATTTGTATGATAAACATACAGCATCTTTAGATATGTGGTTCAGTGTCTGCAAGCTGATATGCCTTCTTTCTGTTCTCATTTCATTAATTTTTAACTTTAATTTATTCTTTCAAAAGATATTTATCAAGTTACCCTTATATGCCAGGCATTGTACCAAATTTTGGAGATGCAGTGATGAGCAAAGCGGATGCAGTTACTGATAATTATTTAAGCTCCAGAGTGATATATGCTGTAATAGATAAACAGGGCTGTGATTGTATTTTACAGTTCTTAAAATGACAATAAAATAACTGACTTATTCTACTACCAACAAACTTAAATATCTATCTAACTAAGCCAAACATTTGGAAAGCTTTTCTCTGCTAGCATGGCATTGAATGTATTTCCTGTTGGCATATGCTTCATGCTTCTACAACATGCAAAATCAAAGCCTTTCATTAGATTGTGATCAAGTTAGTCTCATGGGAAAAATTGCCTCAGTTTATTGTTTTGAATGTATGGCGGCTTTATAGTTAGCTATAAATATAACAGCAAGATGAATTGTATTAAAAATTATGTTGATGTGCTCTTAGCTATAGCTTCTCTGAGGAGAGGGAGGTGATAGACCCCAAATAACTGATTGCTCATTTTTTCTTATCGTAGTTTTGGAAGGAAAAGACTTTGCTTTTTCATGTGACATTAGTAATATTGTAGGACTCAGAAAACTGAACTCAAAGTGAGATGCTGCTTATGTACTGGTTAACTTTAGGACTTGCGCAAAAACATATATTAGAGCTATTCCACAGAGAGGAAAGAATCAGTGAGTAAATAAACCAGGAAAAAAAAATGGGGATTAGCTAAATATAGAAACTTTCAGTGTTTGTTTTGTGATTGTTCTGTATTTATCTAGCCTTGCTGATTTTTTTAATGTCAGGTGAACTGGAGAATTTTGTTTTCCCATTGGCAAGATGCTCTGCTGCCTCTTGATCTCCAGTTCTCTTTGATTGAGATCCTGTAGTTAGTTTCTTGCTGGTTTACTTTGATGATTCTACCTACTTCGTTCTTAGATTCTCTGGTTATGATCTTATAAGCTGTGTAACTCGTTACTAAAACGAATGTATTCTGGACAAAATAGGCTTTACTTTTATTCTGAACTGCTAATAATTTTCAAGCATAAAAATCTTCTATCACAAAGCCAAAATCTATAGCTACCTACTGTAGCTATTAAAGAATCTCTATTGTGCACGATAGGTAACTCAATGTTTTCTTCTAATACTAAATTTAAAGCAATTAAAATTTCCTTGACTAGCTGAAAACTGCAAGTATTTCGAGTTTTTTAAAATCATTTTTTCTGGCATCAAATCTTGGATACATCAAATCATAGAAAGCCCTTTGGCAGTAAGACCTGCTTCCACCTGTGAAATCTTTATTCTGATTTCTTAAGAGGAAGATTGATTTAATTATCAATGTTGACTAAGTAAGTGGTGAAGCTTTTGTTTTTGGTTTGGACATGGTGTGCACAATGTCTGAGCCCTGTAGCCTTGAAAGTGCTCTTGTCTGTCAAGACAGCCCTGGAGAAGATTAAGTGGAAACCATTTGGCTGCTGTTTTTGGAAAGACAGCAAGGCATGAGATGCTTACTTGAATGCAGAGCAATAAAACACAAACTGCCTTTTAGAAACTTTATTGTGAAATTTATATTTCATTTTATTACCTGATTTTAAGAATTGAAAACTAAATAGCCCAAATAACAGTTTTGATTTTAATACATAATAAATAGTTTAGTTACCATACAATTGAAGGGTATTATCATTCAACACAATCATGAAACATAGTTTCTTTTTCAGGTTCATGGTGGCATGAACCTGAAAACTTAATTATTTTCCCCAATAAATTAGTAATTTAAAGCTCTTTGCCTTTCTAAAATGTCACTGCATTGCACAATATTGCACAGATGACAATTAAAGATAGCTTGACCAGGAGGTATTAAAGGCTAAATGTTATGTGCAGCATGTAAAAGATGTTCTGCTTTGTAAAAAATCTTTGATAGGGAGTCGCTGTCTTTATTTATGTCAATCATTTATTCTTCTGTTCTGTCCTATGCTTCTTTTTATCTAGGCATTTTCAAGAAGCACTGATGCCTGCTTCTGATCTCTAACTATTTAAATTAGACTCTCTGAGCATGAAAAGGAGCTAGGCCAAGGTCTAGGAAAAGAAATCCTAAGGAAGGAGTGACTCTGGCTTGTATGAGGCACAGCGAGAAGATTTATATGAATGGAATGGGTGGGGCGAGGACATGGGTGGGAGAGAAGAAAGAGAGAGAGAAAGAGAAAGAGAGGGAGAACAAGGGCCAATTTATGTAAGATCTATTTGTCTGTAAGTGTTGGCAGAAACAGCGAAATGATTTTTGTGCCAGGAAATGATGTGATATAATTTGAATAAGAAGATCATGAGACTCTATCATTACAGAAAAAACCTGGAGGACATCCTTGGAAATAGCACATTTGATGTTTGTTGTGATTTGTCAGGTATTCACACCTAAGCCAAATTGAGGTAATTCTGTTTGGCAGATTAATTGTATGAGAAGAAAAATGTGTTGGGGGAAATTGACACTTCTCTATTCAGCTTTTAGTAACCTGTTTTAGAAAGCAACTTAATGCCTACCATGCCTTTGATGTTTATGGTGATAATTATCCTGTTTTAGTGGAGATGAAGCACACTTCTTTTAAAAATATGTATATATCATTTATATTCAACAATTTTTTTTCTTAATTTAAAGAGATTTTGAACAAAGTCTAGTTTCCATCATGATTGCCTTCCTTTCCAAATTTAATTCTATTTCCTTCTTATTGACAAAATTTCCTTTGTAAATACTGAGATTTATTGTTGCTCAATTTCAAAAAGTAAGAATTATTTCGAGGCATCTTTATGACCCTGGTTTAAGGTGCTCTTAACTACTTGCATGTCATATACTGCTACATTTCAGTCATGAGCTCAGTTGTAATAATTGACTCGTTTTCTGGAAATAAAATTGTTAATGGTGAAACTATATCTCATCATTTTTCTGAGAGCATTACAAACAAAACTCTGGAAATATTCCATGTAAAAGTGTTCCCTTGTGAGATTAAATAAGGAATTATGTTACATTATGCTTTTGGAGCTTTAAAGTAAACATTAATGCATTAAAAATATGAGAAATACCATTATAAAATTGTTTATATCTATTTAGTCTTATGGAACCATTTTGAATGTGTATGTAAAACACTTCATATGTTTCATAGAACTAGTGTTTCTCAGAACTCTTTTTGGAAATGTTTTCCCACATATATAACTCATTTTTATTTCTGCAGGTGATATTATTGATGATGCCTTGCTCACCTGCACATGTTTATAAGCAAAACAAAACAGTGGAAGACTTATGATTCTTTTTGACACTGAACAGATGTGAAGTTTACTCCCTTATTAGTGCCTGCAAGACATACAGGTAAACCTATTAAAGGTTTGTTGCTTGTTCTTCCAAAGTCTTAAATTTAAATTTACAAGTAACCCCAGCTTTTTCACAAATGAATAACTACAGTCCTCTTAGCCATATGCCAAGATACTAGCTGTATATGTTTCTTTAACAAGCCTCTGGACGTAAATGGGCGTAGATCCTTTCCATTTTTTCACCTGTTATCTGACTTAGAAGGCTGATGGAGCATGCTGGCCAAGAGAGTAAAATATTGTTTGATTCTTTCAATGCACACATTGGCTTTTCCTACCAAATGTGTAACAACAGAAACATTGAATGATCCAAGATGGCCGATCGCTAACATCTCAGGATTGCAGCTCTCAGTGAAAGCGCAGAGAACTAGAGGACGCCACACTTTCAGACAAATTCTGGTTGCTCACGGAGCAGAAGATCCCCAGTGGAGGAGTCACACGTGTCGCCAGCACGACTCTTGTGGCTGGCGCAGTGGTTTCGCCGCACCTTGGCGCGGCAGCTCTCGGAGCAGAGTAAACAGGGCCGGCTCCCCTTCTGACCGAGGTTTGGAGCCCGGGGAAGGCAGAGTCACCCATTACGGACACAAGAAGGAAGCCAGACAGGAGAATCCTGGGCAGAAAAGCACCATCAGTCTTAACGCCACTGTTCTGGCCCTGGGAACTAACAACTTGGACATCCACTCAGGAGACCTAATCTGAAAGTTGGTAATTTCAAAGACGATAGGAGGATAAATTTACAATGATGGGAAGAAACCAGCATAAAAAGGCTGAGAATACTCAAAATCAGAACGCCTCTCCCTCTAAAGATGATCACAGTTCCATATCGACAATGGAACAAGGCTTGATGGAGAATGAGCGCATCCCAATAACAGAATCATGCTTCAGGAAATGGATAATAAGAAACTTCTGTAAGTTAAAAGAACATGTTGTAGCCCAACGTAAAGAAAGTAAGAACTTTGAAAAAAGGTTTGATGAAATCCTATTGAGAATAGACAACTTAGAGAGGAATATAAGTGAATTAATGGGACTAAAGAATACAATACAGGAACTCCGAGAAGTATGCACAGGTCTAAACACTCAAATTGTTCAAGCAGAAGAAAGGATATCAGAGGTCAAAATCCAACTTAATGAAAGAAAACGTGAAGACAAGATTAGAGAAAAAAGGATAAAAAGGAATGAGCAAAGTCTTCAAGAAATGTGGGACTATGTGAAAAGACCAAATTTATGTTTGATAGGTGTACCTGAATGTGACGGAGAGAATGAATCCAAGCTGGAAAATACCCTTCAGGATATTATTCAGGAAAATTTTCCTAAACTAGCAAAGCAGGTCAATATTCAACCCAGGTAATACAAAGAACACCACAAATATATTTCTCAAGAAGAGCAACCCCAAGGCACATAATCGTTAGATTCACCAGGGTTGAAATGAAAGAGAAATTACTAAGGGCAGCCAGAGAGAAATGTCAGGTTAATTACAAAGGCAAGCCTATCAGACTTACAGCAGATCTCTCAGCCAAAACTCTACAAGTCAGAAGAGAGTGGGGGCCAATATTCAACATCCTCAAAGAACAGAACCTTCAGCCCAGAATTTCATATCCAGCCAAGCTAAGCTTCACAACTGAAGGAAAAATAAAATCTTTTATGAACAAGCAAGTACTCAGAGATTTTATTACCACCAGGTCTGCTTTATAAGAGCTTCTAAAAGAAGCTTTACACACAGAAAGAAACAACCAGTATTAGCCTTACTAAAAATATACCAAAGAGTAAAGAGCACCAACATAAAGAAGAGTTTTCATCAACGAATGGATAAAACAGCCAGTTAACATCAAATGGCAGTAACCCTAAATTTAAATCGACTAAATCCCCCAATCAAAAGACACAGCCAAAACCCAATGGCATGTTACATCCAGACCTGTTTCACATGCAAGGATACACAAAGACTCAAAACAAAGGGATGGAGAAAGATTTACCAACCAAATGAAGAGCAAAAATAAATAAAATAATAAATAAAAAGCAGGAGTTGCAATTCTCGTAGCAGATAAAATAGATTTTAAAGCAACAAAGATAGAGTGGTAAAAGGATCAATGCAACAACAAGAGCTAATGATCCTAACACCCGGATACATAGAGACTTTGATTCAATGAGACAGAAAATTAATAAGGATATCAAGGACTCAAACTCAGATCCAGAACAAGTAAACTTAATAAATATTTATAGAGCTCTCCACTTCAAATACACAAAATATACATTCTTGTCAATACCACATCACACCTACTCATAGGTTTAAATGAAACATTGATTGGCCATTATTAATACCCATTTTCTTTTTTCAGAATAAAGCAATATTTCCATTCACCCTCCCTCTTTCTCTTCCTCTTTCTTCCTCTCCTTTACTCATTTTTTTCTTTTCTTCTCTCAAAAAAAAAAGAAAAAAAAAAGCAGAAACATTTGGAGATCTACCACATCTTGCGTCTAACCAGTGAAGGAGAACAGAATATGGAACAGAAAAAAGATGCTTAATAGGAGGTTGGTTCTAATTTTTTAAAAAAGAAAAAATATGAATTGTAAGGAAAGGTAGATGAAGTAGCTAAGTGACTGGACTTTCTGCAGTTATTTTCCTAGGAGTTATGGAAACATTAAAGTTTGAAAACTGACAACTTTCTCAATTTTTATTATCTTTTAAATTAACATAATTTCCTACTTTTTCCTCTAGAAAACACTTGTGCTTTTCAGGTGTATTTGTAAGAATTTAAAGTCATAATGTCTAACTGACTTTGGTAACTTTGAGGGTTCATTTTTGCACCTTTGAATAATTATAGTATATCTCTGTGTGTGATGTTTTCAGTCTACAGATGATAACTTGATGTGCCTGTGGATTTGTAGATGCTTTGAAATAATTTGTAGCCCTTAGAGTCCAATGGATTGGCATTATCAAAAGCAATGGTTATACATCAGGAAGTAGTTGACTATAGTTTAGGTATTTGCAGGGACCTTATTATGGAGGAGTGTAAAATTTATCCTGAAAATTACAAGGAAGAATTGCAGGATGGAAGATAGGTTGGTGGCAGAATCAAGATTTGCAATTATGAGCTGTCAATGCCAGACAGCAGAGCAAAGACTGGGGAAAACAGTGTAGGAATGGAGAGTTAATTCAATTTTCAAGGCCTTTGCCTCTGACACTAATGGAAAGGATGAAGGTATACATTTCAGTGCTCTTTTGAAAGCAAAATATCAAGTCAGAGCAAAAGTAATCGTGGTTTTCATCATAGTATGTAAGATTTGATGACAGGATGTAGAGTTGAAAGGAAGAAATACTGTATAACTTGAAGAACTGACATTTACAAGGTAAGAAATTTGAAAGAGGAGCAGCGTTAGCAGTCATGAAGATAAGGGCTTATTTGGGTGTAGCTAATTTGTGGCAGCTTTAAGAGCTAACCACTGGCAGTAGTCTCTGCTGATCATACTTATGTGCTTGTGTGTTACATCAAATTTTGTAAATTATGTTCTATTAAAGTTATCAGACCTAACATTGCAGCTTTTTAAAAGGTATATTAATATCTTCAGTTTACTTGCAGTACACTTTATGCATGTTATTGCTACTTCATCTATCATCTATCTTATTTAGAACTTGCTGACCTCCCTCTGTGCTTCTCAGAATTATTTGTGATAGGTAAATAATTAAATAAATTTTTGTGGATTGCTATCTGGTCATATTGCTCAAGTAGTAGGCATCCCTTTTGCAAATAAGTGCCTGCAAATCCCTGTGAAATCCCTTTTGGCTTTCCATGTGGATGTCTGCATTTCTGTTACATGTAGGATCCCTGAAACCACTTGTTGATCCTCAGAGTTACTGTGTTACTTATAGGTGAAAGGATGTCTGTGGAGAGAATTCACAATGGAAAGTGAGGATTTTAAATTCCATAAAATCATGGAATTTAAACTCATGGTAGTAGACTCTCAGCCTTCACATCTGTATACTAATAAAGCCCAACTAATTTGGAACATTCTTTCTTTCTTTCTTTTTTTTTTTTGAGACAGAGTTTCGCTCTTGTTACCCAGGCTGGAGTGCAATGGCGTGATCTCGGCTCACCGCAACCTCCGCCTCCTGGGTTCAGGCAATTCTCCTGCCTCAGCCTCCGGAGTAGCTGGGATTACAGGCACGTGCCACCATGCCCAGCTAATTTTTTGTATTTTTAGTAGAGACGGAGTTTCATCATGTTGACCAGGATGGTCTCGATCTGTTGACCTCGTGATCCACCCGCCTCGGCCTCCCAAAGTGCTGGGATTACAGGCTTGAGCCACCGTGCCCGGCCTGGAACATTCTTTCTTAATGGAAGTAAGAAGAGGGAGCTATAAGGTAGACCATAACCTCAAAGGAGAGCAGCTAATGGAGCATTATCACTTTGTATTTTCCCCTGATTCTTTTTTTCTTTCTCTGGGGAGGGAGATACTAGTCATGTATCCCATGGTTTGTGGTTTTCTGCAAAAAGGGGAGATTAGAATCTCATTCATAATTTTTGCTGATATGCTACAGTTTAGATTATGTGACATGTACGTGTATGTATATTTATACATATATCATATATACATATATGACCCAAGTATATTTATATACACACACACACTTGAGTCAATTTATTTTAACATCCACCACTGGAGTGGTTGAATAATATTTGAAGGACTTTATTCAGTGATCTAAGTCCAGGAGGCAGCTGGGGCAAGATTTCAAATTGCTGTTTACATCTGTACCAGTGGGCTAATTAGCACAAAATGTATTAGTCATAGTGTTTCCCTGATGAAACAAGTGGTATTCATTATATGCAGCTGGGTAGAAATATTGTTTGGAAACCTCTGCCTTGCCAGCTGTGTGCTGGTATAGCAGTACACATGGTGCTATACTGCAGCTCTGCCATTTCCTTAATGGAAGAGCTGTCTTGGGATCTTTTTCTGGATTGACAGGGAAGGTTAATCTTGTAGGGGATGCAATTTATTTATCTCAGAGATCACCATTCATGTGAGGGGCTTTTGTAGTGATAGATCGGGGACTTCACAGAGCTTACTGAAACAGTATGCATGACTGTTTTAGTGCCTGAGGGCTAATAAATATTTGCTTATGAGGCAGAATTTTGTTTGTGCCTTATTTTGTTGTGAAATATACCTTGTTGTCAGGTTGGTTATGAGGAAGCATAAAATTCTTGAGTGCTACCGGTATTATTAGAAGGAACCTGATAATTGTTGATTGAACATTGGTTTGGGTCTTGTTGCAAGTTTTATGGGAAGGAATGTCTGCAACATTGTCTGAGGGTCACCGGACTTTGGAAAGAATGAATTAAGAGAGGGTAGGGTGTCAAGAAAGGCTTGGTAAAGATAGTCTAGGCCTGAGATGTAAGCAGACTCTAGTTGGCCCTGCAGGAATCTGCTTCCTATGTTATGAGACATGCAGAGATTGCCCAATGAGGTGAGATAAAGGAAGCAGCACTGCTCTTGGAAACTCTAAGCTCAGAAGACCATGAAGTGGACAGTATGGTACATGGGCACTTAAAGACCATGAATGTGCTGCAGAAAAGATGCCATCTGTGCAGACCTAGAGAGAACAAGTGGCCAGAACATTAGTAGGTTAATATCATACCAATGCCAGGACCAGATCAAACGATGATGGGAACAACATGTCCAGCAGGGAAATACATGGTCAAGACCAGCTATCTAACTTTTCTGCTCAACTGAAGGACATTCCTCAGGTTATCCAACTTTCTGTGACACCTCTAGCAACCAGAGCAGGCCAACCAAGAAAAGACAGCATAGGAGAAGGGGGAATGGAGGCAAAAGAAGGGACTGTAAAGGAGGAAAGGAAACTCTGAGTTAGAAATTTTATGCTGAACAGTGACTGAGATTTGAAAAAGAAAACAAAAAGCCCCAAAACACCCCATAAAAACAGAAAACAAGAAACGGTTTACATGGCAAAGCCACTGGACTAAGAATACCAGAAAGGCTGAACTATTTTCCATAGACAGATTGAGGTTTATGAAGTTCATGACGTTATGTGCAATTCAAGAGAAAAAAATAAGCTTCATGTCACATATCTGAGTGTTAAGTGTACATATTTCTGTGTTGACTGCCCAGTATGCATCTATTGCATCTGAACTAGCCCTCTTTTCTTTCTCCCTCACCTTTTGATTCATTTGCATATCTCTCTGTCTACGATTACATGGGCGTTTTGTATTTTAACTTATAGGGCAGCTTTCAATTTCTTAAATCCTTGCATCTTCCACTCAAGAAATGTGGTGTATGTTCCTTAACTTATATTTTGACATAACATTTCAGATACTTTCTCTATGTTGGGCAATAGATATAAGCGTACATATTTTTATTTGTTGTAATAACAAATGGATGTTTTTACCTTTATATGTAGTTAAATTTTTGTTTATATGCAGATAAATAGAACACAAATTTCTTGAGGGCAGAAAATCTGTCTTGTTCATTGTCATATCACTACCATACAGATATATCTCTGACATTCAATAAGGATTGGTTAAATGAATACATTTCAGTTACTGGAAAAATGTCCCACTGTTTATAGTTTTTCTCATATCTTAGTATTTGTGTCTGTGTGGACTGGTCATGATGGTTAGGGGAGCAGGCCAGGTGCTGGAGATGTTGTCTCAGCTGCGGGGCAGACAGTTGAGCTCCAGTGGGTAAATAGAAGCAACATGATGTCCAAGGTTACCAGAGATGACCTCCAGGTGCTTTAGAGGAAATAGATTAGCTCCAGGAGTCCCTGATGATGCAATAGGGAGCTTTAGCTTGTGGGCATGACATAGCAATGGAGAATCAGTTGGTATTTAATATGTAGGACACCTGGGGCTATAACAGGTGTTCTTTTTGAAGTCTAGGTTTGTCATGCCAGTGAGTGGGATTTATTTGTTAAGTTGTAGTTTCTGGAGTGATGGTGTGACAAAAGTACATTAAGATTCTAGGAACTCTGAAACAGGTATCAAGATAGGAACAGTTAAATATTGAGGCCCAAGGAGGGATGCACAATAGGAAAGTGGTATCTATGCTCTCTTAACGGAATGGGTAGCTTCCAAGAGGGAGGAGGCTGTGACTCTGGATCCAGCCATCAGCACAATCATTTAGCCTGTCAGAAAAGTGATCAGTATCATTGAATTAGGAATGAAAAAGCCTAGCTGCTCCCTTCCCTGAAGTGTTTTGACAGATCCCCATATAAGCCTTAGATGATTTAGTCTTAGCTCAGATGCCTACTCTCGTATCTTCAGCGGAGAAAGGTTTATGTTGATTGCCTTAAGGTAGGGTTATTCTTCCAGCAGGAGAATGGGAGAGGACCCTCATAGATGAGATTTATAGGCATGGCAGGCATTTTGAGAGCACACAGATGGCCAGTGTGAGCATAGTGAGAAATTTCCTCTCACAAATGCACTGGTTGGACAATCTATGGCACCTACCCCAGGAACCTGATTTTAGTTGACCATATATTTTTGTTTATCTTTGTTTTGTTTTGAGTAAAACAATCATTGAATGAGAAATAACTATTCCTCACTGAGTTTTTGAGACTTTCTTTGGATGTCATTGCATATTTTACTTACCACCCTCCTCATTTAATTCACAAATATTTCTTACAAATTAATTGTCATTTATCACTTTATGGGTTATTTCAATCCATAGATGGGACTTCAAACACATAAACCACTTATACAGGGAATTAAACTTACTTGATAATGTTGACATCTGTAAGTATTTCAGTTTTGAAACGTAATAAAGATTGCATCTCAGAGTGTAGTCTCCATCTTGAATAAATTGCTACTCTGCAAAGCCACTCAGAGATTACACACGTAACATTGGCCAAAAGCACAGTTGCATTTCTTAAATTTAAGGGGAGGTTACCTTTAAGTGAATATACTTTCAAACATTTGTGCTACTTTAACTCTGTGTGTGTGTTTGTGTGTGTGATTGCTGGTTTGATTTTTGGCAGGGTGGAGCTTAGTGACCTATTGATAAGATTTTTCTCCTTTCTTTAACACTTTCTGTTCTTCACCCAAATTCCTCCTAAACATTTCGTGAGCATTTACTATGTCTCAGGCACAAAGAAAATGATGCAGTTTTCATCTAATTCAGACATAGTGAATCTGTGATTGCTGTACTTAATAATTCAGCTGGCAAGATGTAAGTAGTTTGAATACTATGGTTCCCTTGATTAGGCAGCAATTTTTATTCATTTGTACAAACATCAGTATTCTTCCAAATTTCACAGTGTATGATTTCTTCTGTAGTAAGGTTTCTTGGCAGGTATTAATAGAAAACAATAAACATCATTATTTCATTTGGCAATAAACAATTCGTAGCTTAGAATGGTTTTCTAATAAAAACACACTCTACAATGAATGAGTTTTTCTTTTTCAGCACTATCAATAAAAACTTACAGTTCCCTAAAGAAAAAAAGGTGAAGTCAAATGATAAATAGTACACAGGATTTTAGCATGCAAACTAGATGTGATATCCTCCATTTGTAAGAAGGAAATAAGAGAGTTGAGATTCTTGAGTCCCGACTTTGGGTATGGTGCTACTAACTCATCTTTCAACATTGATTTTCTCTTTGGTAAAAGAAGGAAAGCACAACACTATATATGAGACAGAGTTTTTTGCAAAATAAAATGTCATTATATCCTTGAAAGCATTTTTAAAAAATTAAAAGAAAATTATAAATTCATCATGATCAAAAGCTTACCTAATTTGTACTGATTACTATTTAGAAATTAAGAATTAAGTTAGCAAACATTTAATAGACTGACACCTATTATAACATTATGATGACAAATTTTTATAATTTATTTACTTGTCTGTCTACTAGATTAGAAACTAAATTTCTTCATCTGTTTTCCTTGTCTGCAATACAATGCACAGCATTGAGCAGGTGTTCAATACATGTGTATTGAATGAATACAGCTGGAGAAGAGATAAAGGGGAATCTTTACAATATCATAGTCTGATTATTATATACTACTGAACAAGCTTTCAGTCAGACTTCAGAGAAAAAGATAGATCTATTTAAGAGATAGGTACATCGTTGATTTCCCAGTACCTCAAACTATGAGACTGGAAGACTTTTGTTCCTTTAATTTCACTTGTTGTTGCTGCTATGAATGGTTACAGCAAAACACAGAGAGGCTATGCTCCTGGAAGTATTACTGTCATTAGCTGTATATTAAGTTGTCTTCATTGAGAGAATGTACTGACATCAATATAAGTGTTTTCATGAATGGCAGAGAGGAAGACTGGTTTGTTCACTTGTATCTAGTTCTCCAGAGGACTGACCTTCTATGGCTAATACTAGTACTTTCTACTTATTAATAGATTCAGAGCATTAGGAAGACCCCTCTTTGATCATTTACTTCTTTTAATGACACACAGCTTGGAAATTAGATGTCCTTAACATTACATAATCTTCTGTTTCCTATGTTAAAATGTCTTGGTGAAAGTTTACATGCAAGTGCATACTCTGACATCACTGTGGGAAAAAGGAAATTTAGTTGTAAATTTTGCCTTTTCAGCATGTCATAACTTCTCCTGGAATGTGTAACATGACCTTATATTTGAATTGTACTTATAGTTTTGAATGTCCTTTCATATATGAACTCCTTTGAAAATACTCCAGGAGAGAGGGATAATAGGTATTATTAACATCATGTTGCAAGTGCTCTATAGATTATTTTGACCTGACCTCCATGTGACATATGTAATTGCTAAATGAAATTAGACTTGACCTTTTCATATTGATACTTCTGCCCCTTTTATTTTTCTGATACATTTGTGAACAAAGAAGATACTTGCTCTACACTAAACTGTATCACTGGGTGTTGGGAAACTGACCTCAAATGAGATGATTGAAATCTTCTCTTCTCATACAGAGGAAACTATCTTCAGGTATCACAGAATAAATGATAGATAACTGAAAAGGTCAGAGAGATTTTTAAAGTTTTGCTAGGAGAGAAAAAATTTCCCTTCTAAGTTTTATCTTTCTGTCCTACAGCAGGCTGAAGAGAAAGATGTCCTTAGCTTGGGTAGATATAATACAGTGCTTGTTCATTATAAGTATTTTTGTAGTCATTTATAGCATAGTCTATTTTATGGAGCTGGGGAAGGGAATTATTAAAGTATATATTTATAGTGCATGACCTCTTTCTTAAGTAGTTATAGTTTATTGAATTCTGTTTGAAGTGGAAATTAAGCTCTAACAGAGAGAGGAAACATGAAGAGCATTCTTGAGAGGGATCAAGTACCTTCAGTAGCAATCAGATTGAAATAGTGTAGTAAAGTAAAACCAATTTAAGAGAAGAGAAAAGTAGCCATAATATTTTCTGAGGGAACAATGAAGAAACAAAGCTACAATAAGATAAACTTTTATTTATTTAATAGTTGATATTTAGCAATACATTTTTGTATTTTTTTATTGTATTTTGTGATGCTATCAAATATACCAGCATCCAGTCTTCAATACTGAAATTATAAACCCAGGTGTCTGATATGTCTTAAGTTTCTTATAAAATAAAGTTGGATTTACTTTTCCAGTCTATAAACACTGATCGTTCATTTATATTTTTTTATTTTTATTTTTGACAGGCCATTCAGATATCACATAGTAGATGTTGAATCCTTAGGCAGTGAAAAGCTATAAAATGTTCAGGTATAAAAGCAGATAATTACTCTAGAAACTTATTTGACCAGTTATTAAGACACAAAGGATTAACTTAGCTATTGTCTTTGGGAAGAGCTTCAAAGAAATAAGAAAATACCTTGTTGGAGTAGAATTGAATTGGAATCATACTATTAAGCTTCCAGTGACTTCTTTATTTGCTTGCAGTGTAAAATATGTCATTAATTTATCTGGAAAAATTTAAAGTATATAAACATACTTAAAGTGTATGCAATTCTTACTGAAGGCTCATCTGAAATTCCATATTTCTTTTGAGCTTCTCATAATAAAAAATGTCTTCAAAACACCAAAACTGTATCTGTATAATTTTATATAAAACTTTTATTTCCTTTGAAGTATCAGTCAATCATTTTGGCCCATTATTACTTACAAATATTAGCTCGATTTGGGATAAGCCATAGAAAAATTCAATAAAATGTGTAGTATACATTAGTACATAATATATACACTTAAGAATAATTATTTGGTTATATTTGTCAGACAACAAATTAAAACTCTGTTAAGCAAAACAATATACATTGGTTATCATAGTAGAAAGTTCTAGAGTAGTCCTTCAGGCCTGACTAAAATCAGGCAGATATTTATTTCTCTATTATAGCTCTGTTTTCCACTGAATTCAATAGATTTTAGGGCAAGAAACACGAGGTCAAAATGACCACCAGGTTGTCAGTTCTCCAGTTAACCAATTCAAGTGGAAAGGGATTGTTTCTTTCTAGTTTTTTAAAAAGGTGCTGATTTTATTTTTTTTATTTTAACTTAGTCCACATTTCCATTCAAAAGTGAATAATTATGATTAGGATCATGGTGCTGCCATTGACCAGTCCTGGAACTAAGACTAAGGTCACCATTAGCCAAACCTAACTACCAGGAAAGAAGAAAAAAAAATGTAAGTCTGGAAAGGAAACCTGGTGTGATATTAGCAGAATATTTTGGTGGAGGGGAGGGTGTTGGGCAGAGACGGGAAAGCACAGTGTATATATATACTAAATTAAATGCAGAGTGAAATGCACACTGATATGTGAAAATGCTACTGAACAAAAGAGCAACAGTTTAAATGGTGTAATAACATTTGACATTAGAGTAACATAAGGAACAATCACAAAATATTGATATGGAAAGTGTTCAATTGCCGATGAAGGGCCTTCAGACATAACTAATCATCATATAAAATACCTATGATGTCTGCATCTCTGAGACTGTTTCCTCATCTGTAAAACAATTATTATTATATGGCTAACAGCAGATGAATTTGTATATGTTTTTGTGCTTGATTATATTGGTACAGAAGGTATTACAGATTTTACTGAACAGTGTTTGTATAATTTGAGTGAAATTATATCCAATTATGGTGATATTACAATTAATGTAGAATAGAGACAAGGATTAGTAAAGTTGCTGACTTCTGCATCCTGCAACTGTGGGAAAATGGAAGACTGAATAACAGCTAACTGAAATTTGCCTTTAAATATATTATACACTCTATGAATATTAATATGAACAAAATTAAACTCCATAGGACTGGAAAAATTAAACTAATGACTTTTATGTCATCCAAGTTAATGAATGTTTTCTGGCCCAACTTTTCATTAAGAAATTAATCACAGTTTCTAATTTCCTTCATTCCAACAGTTTCCATTGTGTGACTGTTTACAAAAGTGCTTAATAAGAGCCCTTAATGAAGACTTGCTCTCTTCTCTTTAATACTGAAATACATTTACGTAGTTTTACAGCTTTTGGTAGTAATAGGCACTCTTAAAAATTAATAGTGGCTATTAGAATAGGTGTTGTATAAATATTTTCTTTAATCATATGAATATTTCTAATGTATTAATATACTATAGTAAAGAATAGAGAATCATAATTTTATCTTTTAAATGAAAGAAGGAAGGCAGGGGCTTAAAATATGGGGAATATTTGGGAAAAATTCTATTTCTATTGATCTTGGTGCTGAAATTTATATTTGCAGTGTTTTACAAATGTGTTCGCTTCCCTGTATCCTCAGGGGATTGATTCCAGGGCTGCCAGCAGATTCCAAAATCTTTGCATACCCAAGTAAGACTGCAGTCAGCCATGAGGAACCCATATATGTGAAAAGCCAGCCCTCCATATCCATAGGTTTCATATTCTGTGAATACCAGTATTTTCCATTCAAGTTTGGTTGTAGTTGCGAACCCATGGGTCTGGAGGGCCAACTGTATTTATTGAAAAAGAATCCACCTGGAAATGGACCAACCCAGGCAGTTCAAACCTGTGTTGTTCAAGGGTCAACTGTAATCTAGTGTTAAATGATAAACTAAATGCAAAGATGATTAATCCCAAAAATTAAACATAATTAAATCTCTGAAACATATTAGACAAAAACGATTTTAATAATTAATTAAATAAACTTAAAAAAACACCTGTGATAATGACTTACGCACTTTAATGTCTTTGTATTAATTCATAGCTAAGGTCTTAGCTGTAAGATTTAGCAATTTATATTACATTATTTTATGGACAAAATATATAACAATGAAACTAAAATAAAAACCAAACTTTTAAGGGAAACTAAAATAAAAACCAAACTTTCCTAATCTGATGATGGAATTGAGTGAATGGTTGGTTATCTGTAAGAAGAGCAACCAAGATAAAGGAACAAAAATTTCAAAGGCCATAACCCAGAATGTTTTTATTAAAACCTCAGAAAACCTCACCGAAATACCACAAAATTAAAAACACACCAAAAGGAAAATAGAAATTATAAAATAAGCATTCAACAAAGTAAACATATAAACTTATTATTAACTTGCAGTTAAAGAAGTACACATTTTAGAAAAAGGGACAAAATTTGCCAAATTGTCGAAGATTTAAAAGATCACTGCTGGCAAGTGTGGTTTAAATGTAACATTGTCATATGTTATTAGTGGAACTCTATGTTGACATATATTTCCAGAAAATAATTTGATATGCATTAAAATACTTAAAAGATCAAATACTTTTTGACAGGATTTTCAATTTTATGAAGCCACAATAAAGAAATAATTTGGGCCAGGTGTGGTGGCTCATGCCTGTAATCCCAGCACTTTGGGAGGCCAAGGAGGGCAGAACACAAGGTCAGGAGCTTGAGACCAGCGGCCAAGATAGTGAAATGCCGTCTCTACTAAAAATACAAAAATTAGCTGAGTACGGTGGTGCATAGCTGTAGTCTCAGCTACTCAGGAGGCTAAGGCAGGAAAATTGCTTGAACCTGAGGGCAGAGGTTATGGTGAGCCGAGACTGTATCATTGCATGCCGCTTGGGCAATAGAGCGAGACTCCATCTCAAAAAAAAAAAAAAGGGGGAGGACTCAAGATGGCGCTGTGAGAACAACCCAGGATTGGAGATCTCATTGTGTCCACGGAAAGGTGAGTCTGAGCTGCATTTCCAGACTGATCTTTGTTGCCCACGGAACGGGGAAATTCCCAAGTGAACAGGAGATGCGGGACGCCAGGCAGAACCTCCGCCTGGTGAAGCCGGCAGCCGGGGTGGCGGCGGCCAGCCCTACCCAGCGCTCCCCACAGGGCGCGCTTGTCCGGGTGCCCCGTTGAACCGGCAACCGGAGACGTGAGAGGGCTGGACTTGAGACTGAGCTAGACTTGGACAGTGGGCCAGCCAGGGGATCGAAGGGACAGAGCATTACGGTTGGCCCAGTGGGATGAACAAAACTGCGATTTCAAACAAGCCCCGGGCAGACGGCCCAAGACGCTCTGAGGGGGAGGGGCATCCACCATTACTGAGGCAACCCACCCCAACTGAGATACATGCCCATTGCTGCCAGCCGTTGCCGAGGCAACCCCTCCCTACTGAGATACACGCCCACTGCTGATGCAGCCTGCCGTTGCCCAGGCAACCCATCCCTACTGAGATACATGCCCACTGCTGACGCAGCCTGCCATTGCCGAGGCAACCCGCTACAACAGAGAGACTCCACCGCAGGGCGTGGCAGAGACCACAGCAGAGCCTGCAGGAACAGGGCGAATCACACAACAGCAGGGCGGAGCCTTGGCAGCCAAACAGTGGCTAGTGTGCGTCCTAGCTGGGCAGGACCTCAATGGACATCCAAAAATAAAGCCCAAACCCCTCAACACAGAGCATTTGAGGAAAAAAAGGGTTTTTTAATGAGCTCTGTTGCTGCAGAATCAAACATAGCAGCCTAACAGCCCTGAATGAACAACAGAGCTCACAGCTCAGCAATTAAGCCCCTATAAAGTACAAACTGTCTCCTCAAGCAGTTCCCTGACCCCTCTATATCAAAAAGACTGACGTTAGGCAGGCATCATCCTGGGACAAAGATAGCAGAAAAAGAAACCGGTAGCATCCCTCGCTGTGCCACAGCTGATAGAGGTGCACCCCAGACAAGCAGGGTCTGGAGCGGACCTCAGCAGTCGTACAGCGAAGGGGCTAGACTGGTAGAAGGAAAACCAAGCAACAACATTCTGGGTGTCCACTCAGAGACCCAATCAAAAAGTCAGCAACTACGCAGACGACCAGTGGACAAATCCACAAAGATGGGAAGAAACCAGCGCAAAAAAAAGGAAAACACCCGAAACCAGAACACCTCACCTACTAGAAAGGACCAAAACTCCTCACCAGCAAGGGAACAAAGCTGGACGGAGAATGACTGTGACGAAATGACAGAATTAGATTTCAGAAGATGGATAATGAGAAACTTTTGTGAGCTAAAAGATCATGTATTAAATCAATGCAAAGAAACTAAGAACCTTGAAAAAAGATTTGAAAAAAGATTCGAGGAAATGATAACAAGAATGGATAACTTAGAGAGGAATATGAATGAATTAAAGGAGCTGAAAAACACAATACGAGAACTTCGCGAAGCAAACACAAGTTTCAATAGCCGAATTGACCAAGCAGAAGAAAGAATATCTGAAGTCAAAGACCAACTCAATGAAATAAAACGAGAAACCAAGATTAGAGAAAAAAGCGCAAAAAGGAATGAACAAAGACTCCAAGAAATGTGGGACTATGTGAAAAGACCTAACCTACGTTTGATAGGTGTACCAGAAGGGGACGAAGAGAATGAATCCAAGCTGGAAAATACTCTTCAGGACATCATCCAGGAAAATTTCCCCCACCTAGCAAGACAGGCCAACACTCAATGGCAGGAAATACAGAGAACACCACAAAGATATTCCGCAAGAAGAGCAACCCCAAGGCACATAATTGTCAGATTCAACAGGGTTGAAATAAAGGAGAGAATACTAAGGGCAGCCAGAGAGAAAGGTCGGGTCACCCACAAAGGGAAGCTCATCAGACTCACAGCAGATCTCTCGGCAGAAACACTACAAGCCAGAAGAGAGTGGGGGCCAATATTCAACATTCTTAAAGAAAAGAACTTTCAACCCAGAATTTCATATCCAGCCAAATTGAGCTTCAGAAGTGAAGGAAAAATAAAATCCTTTGCGAACAAGCAAGTACTCAGAGATTTTGTCACCACCAGGCCTGCTTTACAAGAGCTCCTAAAAGAGGCACTACACATAGAAAGCATCAACCAGTACCAGCCATTCCAAAATCACACTGAATGCTAAAGAGCATCAACATAATGAAGAATCTACAACAACGAACAGGCAAAACAGCCTCTTAGCATCAAAATGGCAGTATCAAATTCACACATAACAATATTAACCCTAAATGTAAATGGACTAAACTTACGAATCAAAAGACACAGACTGGCAAATTGGATAAAAATCCAAAACCCATCAGTGTGCTGTATCCAGGAAACCCATCTCACATGCAAGGATACACAAAGGCTCAAAATAAAGGGATGGAGGAAGATTTACCAAGCTAATGGAAAACAAAAAAAAGCAGGAGTTGCAATTCTCATCTCTGATAAAATAGACTTTAAAGCAACAAAGATCAAAAGAGACAAAGAAGGCCATTATATAATGGTAAAAGGATCGATACAACAAGAAGAGCTAACGATCCGAAACATATATGGACCCAATGCAGGAGCTCCCAGATACATAAGGCAAGTTCTTAATTACTTACAAAAGGACTTAGACTCCCACACAATAATAGTGGGAGACTTTAACACTCCACTGTCAATACTAGACAGATCAACCAGACAGAATATCAACAAGGATACCCAGGGTTTGAACTCAGACCTGGAGCAAGCAAACCTGATAGACATTTAGAGAACTCTCCACCCCAAATCCACAGAATACACATTCTTCTCAGCACCACATCACACCTACTCTAAAATTGACCACATAATTGGAAGTAAAGCACTGCTCAACAAATGCAAAACAACTGAAATCATAACAAACAGCCTCTCAGACCATAGTGCAATCAAGTTAGAACTCAGAATTCAGAAACCGACCCAGAACCGCACAGCTTCATGGAAACTGAACAACTGGCTCTTGAATGTTGACTGGGTAAACAACGAAATGAAGACAGAAATAAAGAAGTTCTTCGAAACCAATGAGAACAAAGAAACAACGTGCCAGAACCTCTGGGACACATTTAAAGCAGTCTCTAGAGGAAAGTATATAGCAATAAGTGCTCATATGAGGAGAATGGAGAGATCCAAAATTGACACCCTATCGTCAAAATTGAAAGAGCTAGAGGAGCAAGATCAAAAAAACTCAAAACCCAGCAGAAGACAAGAAATAACTAAGATCAGAGCTGAGCTGAAGGAGATTGAGACACGAAAAACCCTTCAAAAAATCAATAAATCCAAGAGCTGGTTTTTTGAAAAGATCAACAAAATAGACAGACCACTAGCCAGATTGATTAAAATAGAGAGAAAAACCAAATAGATGCAATAAAAAATGATAAAGGGGAAATCACCACAGATTCCACAGAAATTCAAACCATCATCAGAGAATATTACAAACAACTCTATGAACATCAACTAGTAAACCTGGAAGAAAAGGATAAATTCCTGGACAACTGTGTCCTCCCAAGCCTAAACCAGAAGGAAGCTGAAACTATGAATAGACCAATAACAAGGTCTGAAGTTGAGGCAGCAATTAAGAGCCTACCACACAAAAAAAGCCCAGGTCCAGACGGGTTCACAGCCGAATTCTACCAGACACACAAGGAGGAGCTGGTACCATTCCTTCTAAAACTATTTCAAACAATCCAAAAAGAGGGAATCCTTCCCAAATCATTTTATGACAGCAACATCATCCTGATCCCAAAACCCGGCAGAGACCCAACGAGAAAAGAAAACTTCAGGCCAATATCCATGATGAACATAGATGCAAAAATCTTCAATAAAATATTGGCAAGCCAATTGCAACAGCAAATCAAAAAACTTATTCATCATGATCAAGTAGGATTCATCCCCGGGATGCAAGGCTGGTTCAACATACGCAAGTCTATAAACGTAATTCACCACATAAACAGAACCAAACACAAAAACCACATGATTATCTCAATTGACGCAGAGAAGGCATTTGACCAAATTCAACAGCCCTTTATGCTAAAAACCCTCAATAAACTCGGTATCGATGGAACGTATCTCAAAGCAATAAAAGCTATTTACGACAAACCAACAGCCAATATCATACTGAATGGGCAAAAACTGGAAGCATTCCCTTTGAAATCTGGCACTAGACAAGGATGCCCTCTCTCACCACTCCTATTCAATATAGTACTGGAAGTTCTAGCCACAGCAATCAGGCAAGAAAAAGAAATAAAGGGTATTCAAATAGGAAAGGTGGAAGCCAAATTGTCTCTATTTGCAGACGACATGATAGTATACCTAGAAGACCCCATCGCCTCAGCCCAAAAACTTCTGAAACTGATAAGCAACTTCAGCAAAGTCTCAGGATATAAAATCAATGTGCAAAAATCACAAGCATTCATCTACACCAATAACAGAGTTAAAGAAAGCCAAATCAAGAATGAACTGCCATTCGCAATTGCTACAAAAAGAATAAAATACCTCGGAATACAACTCACAAGGAACATAAGAGACCTCTTCAAGGAGAACTACAAACCACTGCTCAACGAAATCAGAGAGGACACAAACAGATGGAGAAACATTCCATGTTCATGGTTAGAAAGAATTAATATCGTGAAAATGGCTATACTGCCCAAAGTAATTTACAGAATCAATGCTATCCCCATCAAGCTACCATTGACTTTCTTCACAGAACTGGAAAAAACCACCTTGAACTTCATATGGAACCAAAAGAGAGCCCGCATAGCCAAGTCAATTCTAAGGAAAAAGAACACAGCGGGGGGCATCACACTACCGGATTTTAAACTATACTACAAGGCTACAGTAATCAAAACAGCATGGTACTGGTACCAAAACAGAGATATAGACCAATGGAACAAAACAGAGGCACCGGAGGCAACACAACATACATACAACTATACAATCTTTGATAAACCTGACAAAAACAAGCAATGGGGAAAGGATTCCATGTTTAACAAATGGTGTTGGGAAAACTGGCTAGCCATGTGCAGAAAGCAGAAACTGGACCCCTTCCTGACACCTTACACTAAAATTAACTCCAGATGGACTAAAGACTTAAACATAAGACCTGGCACCATAAAAACCCTAGGAGGAAATCTAGGCAAAACTATCCAGGACATAGGAGTAGGCAAGGACTTCATGACCAAAACACCAAAAGCATTGGCAACAAAAGCCAAAATAGACAAATGGGACCTAATCAAACTCCATAGCTTCTGCACGGCAAAAGAAACAGTCACTAGAGTGGATCGGCAACCAACAGAATGGGAAAAAATTTTCGCAGTCTACCCATCTGACAAAGGGCTGATATTCAGAATTTACAAAGAACTCAAACAGATTTAAAAGAAAAAAACAAGCCCATTCAAAAGTGGGCAAAGGATATGAACAGACACTTTACGAAAGAAGACATATATGAGGCCAACCATCATATGAAAAAATGCTCATCGTCACTGGTCATCAGAGAGATGCAAATCAAAACCACATTGAGATACCATCTCACGCCACTTAGAATGGCGATCATTAAAAAATCTGGAGACAACAGATGCTGGAGAGGATGTGGAGAAAAAGGAACACTTCTACACAGTTGGTGGGAGTGTAAATTAGTTCAACCATTGTGGAAGACAGTGTGGCGATTCCTCAAGGCCTTAGAAATAGAAATTCCATTTGACCCAGCAATCCCATTACTGGGTATATATCCAAAAGACTATAAATCGTTGTACTATAATGACACATGTACACGAATATTCATTGCAGCACTGTTTACAATAGCAAAGACCTGGAATCAACCCAAATGCCCATTGATAATAGACTGGATTGGAAAAATGTGGCACATATACACCATGGAATATTATGCAGCAATCAGAAATGATGAGTTTGTGTCATTTGTAGGGACATGGTTGAATCTGGAGAACATCATCCTCAGCAAACTGACACAAGAACAGAAAATGAAACACCGCATATTCTCACTCATAGGTGGGTGATGAAAAATGAGAACACATGGACACAGAAAGGGGAGTACTAAACAGTGGGGTCTATTGGGGGGAAAAGGGGAGGGCCAGTGGGAGGGGGAGGTGGGGAGGGATAGCCTGGGGAGAAATGCCAAATGTGGGTGAAGGGGAGAAGAAAAGCAAAGCACACTGCCATGTGTGTACCTATGCAACTGTATTGCATGCTCTGCTCATGTACCCCAAAACCTAAAATCCAATAAAAAAAAAAAAAAAAGAAAAAAAAAATAATTTGAGAGGAGCAGAACAAATATTTACGTACAAAGATATGTACTGCTGTTTAATTTACAGTGTGAAAAATATGGAACTTTTAGATAAAACAACAGAAATAACAATAGTTACTATAAATTTCTGAGTTTTTATGTGTTGGGCTGTATGATTAGTGCTGGGTATAGATTATCTCATTTATGTTTAAGTTCACAATGATATGTAGTTAGCATATTTCTAAATTTACCTACTACTGTGTTTAGAATAGGCAAGATTTTTCAATGGAACTCACCTTTTGTCATGTGGGGAAGCTGTGTAACTTGGGAAAATTAGCCATATTTGTGTCTCCAGGAATACTCCCTGATTGTCTTAAGCCAGTCAGTGATTCTGCACCCCTATCAATTGGTTAGCAATGTGCATATCGCTTTATTTGCCCAGATAAGAATAAACAACGAAACTTTTGATTAGGAATTGAGGTAGAAATTATCTTCTCACCTTAGTTCTTAGTTATGTAAAAGGTAAAATAAAAATTGAGAATAGGAAATTTATCAATAAGAAAAAAATTGTGCAAAAGCTAAATGGGCAAAAGCTAATGTTACATAAAAGAAATGCAATATATAAACCAATTTTCATATTATTATTCAATTTTCCTATTGAATTAAAGTAAATTTCTAAAACCCTGATATGTATATACAGTATAGGGAGGTTGGGGTGAGATTTGCATACTTTTTCACTTCTCTGGGAGTATAATATGCCCTATTTTCCAGACAAAGTATTGTAATTATATACACACTTAGATCTGGTAATTTCCATTCTTCTTCATCTCCATAGTCAGATGTTTGGCAATGATTTATATAACAGATAAAAATATATATGTAGAATATATTATTCAATATTTTAAGTATTTCACAAACTTTGCAATCATTTCTTTCTCAAGGCAACACTGTGTTAGATTATATAGTTAAGGAGACTAAGGCATATCCTGTCAAGGCAACATAGTTTTGGAATTAGGCTTATAACACTTTCCAGGCCAACTATAGTCGTTTTAGTCAGTATATTACTTTGCTTCAATTCTAATCATCACAGTGTCTCTATATAGTAAAAAATAAATGAAAAAATCTTAAATGTGAAACATTAGAACGAGCAAAAAAGTTATAACATGGCATGTTATGCCAATATTATTTATTTGAAGACTTATTTAATGATATAAGAATGTGATTGCACTATAGTGAAAAAAAGTAGAATATGAAATTGTATATTGTATCAATTTGTATATATTGCTATAAAGGAATACCTGAGGTTGGGTAATTTATAAAGAAAAGTTTATTTGGCTCATGGTTCTACAAGCTATATAAGACACTTGGTGCCAGCATCTGCTTCGGGTGAGGGCTTTAGGCGGTTTAAACTCGTGGCAGAAATTGAGATGAAGCCAGCATGAGCAGAGATGACATGGCAAGACAAGGGGCAAAAGAGAGAGGGGAGGGAGGTGCCAGGCTCTTTTTAACAAACAGCTCTTACAAGGGACTAACAGAAAAAGAACTCACACATTATCAACAGAATCGCACCAAGCCATTCATGAGGGATCTGCCCTGCCCCCATGACCCAAACCTCTCACTAGGTGTTTAACATTGGGGATCATATATCAACATGAGGCTTGGAGAGTGAAATAGCTGAACTATTGTGTATGTGTAGTACAATTTCAGTTTTAGGAAAAGACTAGGTGGAAGGTATCTAAATATTATCTTTTAGTTTATCTTAATATAGATGGTTTCTATTTTCCTTTATAATTTTCTGATTTTCTAAGTGTTTTGTTCATACACACACACTATAATTGCATAATATATATGTTTTTACTTCCCTCAAACATTGCTGGAATTACCATTCCTTTCTCTAGTCAGATTTATTTTCTACTTCAAAGTCCCGTTGGATTAAAAAAGCTCCTCTACCCTGGTAATAATTTAGCTTTGCTATATAGCATTCATTAAACCAAGTAAATTTTTTAACTGGGGCCAAATGTCACAAGTTTTGATCTATCTCAGTGTCTACACTGTGCTTTCCGTAAGAGGCTCTTAATATTGAGAGATAAGAGTTTTTGAAGAGTTAATCTTAAAAAAGAAAGAAGACTTTACATTAACCTGTTTAGACTGAAAAAGATAATAACCAAATGATTCAAGGAAAGTGATTTGTGATTTCCATTAATTTCAGCAAAAAGAGTGAATTACTTGATAATTATTCTCCTACTTTTTCTAATTAGAAAAATTTTCTGTCATTGAGAGCTTCAAAGCACTGCTGCAATTTTATCATCAAATGCAATGGAAAGCATTGATTGAATTTGATTTTAAATGGATACATTTACAATTTTTATGTGTTCTGAAGATTTTGTTATGTCTCATCCACTATCACTTTTTTCATTACCATACCGAAAGCTAAGGATATGGAACTTAGAATGCATTTGGGAGAATAACAGCTGATATGAATTCTTGGTCCTAAACTGATTTCTCTGGGAATAGAAAAACCCAGGACCAAAACTATCTTTGTCTGGTTCTATTCCTATATAAATTAAATTTTAAAGATCTTTCCAGTTTTACATCTTATAAATATGAATGCCTTGAGTCTATTTTGCATTAGCATCTAACAAATACACACAGATTTCTAAGAAGTAATCTGCTTGTCTCATCCCCTTCCTTTCATGTCTCTTTAGAGCCACATTAGCAACACGATCTTCCTAAAACACATATCTCATTGCACTGCTTCCCTGTTCAATCATACTTCCATCACTTTTAGGGTAAAATGCAAATGTTATAACATGGCAGTCAGGAGCCTTCCTTATGTGGCCTCATCTTATTACTAAAATTTTATATGAAAGAGTTTCCTACGCATATTCTATTTTAAAATCAAATATACTAATAGCTCATCCTTGAAGATGGAGTGTTCGTTCTTATTCCTGCGGCTTTGTTTTTGACGTTTCCTTTACCAGTTGTGGCTTTCCCCACCTTCCCCACTGGACAGCTTCTGTGAAGTGAAGGGTGATGAGTCTTATGTCTTTCAGGAAGACTTTTCTTTAGCACCTAACCTTGCTATAAACGTAGTCCTTATCACATTGATACATGCAAAGGAGTAAACAGACTTAGTTTCCTCTCACTAGTAACTAAACAACTGGGCATTCAGTTCAGTGAATATTGGTTTAATGAACAAACTTACTTATCTAGTTTTATTTTCCTTAGTGTATAGGGATATATGTATGACTATTTGTATGTCATTTCCTCAGTGAGATGACTAGAATACACAGGAAATGATTGCTCCAAGCTGCTTAAGACAATCATTCTAATCTCTCCTTTTTTGCACCTGTTGCTTAGAACATTGGGGTGAAAACATTTGAGGTGTCTTAAAGGCATGCTAAGGCATTTGGACTTGGTCCGTTGGTAATATGACCAAATTCCTTGTTAGAGAAATTATGATTGGCTAGGGATGGATAGGTGGGGAGTGTAAACTGGGAGAGAAAACAAATTGGAGATTGTCATATTAAATAAGATTGGATTTACTTAACTGCATGTAGGTGGTAAGAGAAATAAGAGGGATTAATAATGCCAGATTTCATGTGTGAGCAAGTAGTGGGGATTGTACTAAATACCTACTTAAAGTCGCAAGACAAAAAATAAAAAGTAGGAAAGAAAATCAGGCCCAAGATCTGATTTTAAATATTTTGAATTTAGGAGCCTATAGTGGATTAAAAAAAAAAAAAAAAAAAAAAACAGAAAAACTCCTAAAATATTTTGCAACTTAGATTAAATACTGTTAAATTCTTGGACTTGGGCAAATAAGAGAATAACGATTTTGAAAATATTTTAAGATCATGATAATGGTGATCTGTATTTCATATGATGACAAGTAGAAATACAACTTGACCTAACTTGTTTGTTTTGCTTGGTTTATTGCATGTGAAATATTTAAACATTTACCTGTTACATTAACAAATTGAAGAATTTAGTCATATTGAAATATTTCTTAAAGGTACTGTTGGGGATAAAGGAAGTTATAGTAAAGAAATAGTTGGCTTTATTTAATTTCATATACATCTTCAAATTGTGTGAAAATGTGTAATAAATGGTGGCAAAACAGTATCAAAATGAGCATTTTATGTTCATACTAAAATTTTAAGAAGCATTTGAATTGGAAATCAGGATTTTATATTTTAAAATAAAAATATGTTCAAAAGAACAACCCCTAAACCAATCTCAGTTTTGCAGGAATATTCAAAGTGTTCTTTCTATGAAAAATATAATTATATCAGACATTGAATAATAGATTCCATTTGAAAAATATGTCATTTCCTGCAAGAAGAAAGACAGAAGTAGGCACAAGTTAGTTCTTATATTTTGATGTGTATATTTTTGTGCTCTTCCTTATTCTGTCACATTGCATAAAATATTATAGTTTCAAAAGTATTTCCTGCATTATGACTGGGTTTCAGTCAATCTAAGATAAAAATAAAGGCCACAGGGATATTAAATTGAATTGACCGTTTCAAGGACAATGTTTTCTTTTATTAAATTTTGGAATTAAAATTATTGAACTGTTTTGTTAACAATTATTTATCTTGATTAAGTTGAATTGACTAAACAAAAATATTTTCTACTGACACAAGAACAGAAAATGAAACACCGCATATTCTCACTCATAGGCGGGTGATGAAAAATGAGAACACATGGACACAGAAAGGGGAGTACTAAACACTGGGGTCTATTGGGGGGAAAAGGGGAGGGCCAGTGGGAGGGGGAGATGGGGAGGGATCGCCTGGGGAGAAATGCCAAATGTGGGTGAAGGGGAGAAGCAAAGCAAAGCAAACTGCCATGTGCGTACCTAACGCAACTGTCTTGCATGCTCTGCTCATGTACCCCAAAACCTAAAATCCAATAAAAAATTAAAAAAAAAAAATTTGGAATGAAATGTATTGAATAGTTTTGATCACGATTATTTATCTCGAATTATTTCTCTCTAATTTCTGTTCACAAGATCAATAGTTATCACAAGATAAATAGAAAAACTGTATCATCCTAAAAAGGATCATTCTAAAAAGAACAAATTTTGTTCTTCCGTTCTCTTCTCTCATCTAAAACCAACAAACAAGAAACACATGATCTGATAAATGACTGGAAATCATGACATAGTTTTATAGTTTACCTTTTAGCTATGTGTCATGTTTAAAATTTCCTGTCCAGGATAAACACATATATTTTTAGGGCTGGAAGTATGTGATGATACAACATTTACATTTTGCAGAAAGGTGAAATGAATTGTACCATTCATACATGCTAAGATCCAGTGAATGCTAAGAAAATAACATGATTTAATAAATAACAATGTTTCTGAGTAAACAAACATTATTTTTCACTAAAATTATAAAATATTAATATATGGCCTTAAAATATACTCTGCTAATATTTTAATTCAAAAATCTAAAATTGCTGCCTTCTGTAGTAGATGCTTTTGATGATCAGCCTACAACTTCTCTTTTAGTGCTGTAGCGCAAACTGGCAGAATTTCTAAAGCTTATCCTGAATTTCTTTATCTAAGGGATTCTTTGGCCACAAGAGACCACTTTGCCGACCAAACAGGCTGAAAGTTCCAGGGAATTAATGCCCCTGGGAGCAGCTCTCAGCTAATGACTAGAGGATTGGTGTCTAAATATGCTAGCTCTCATTCTTACAGTGAGTATATCTGAGAGGTATATTACACACTAGATGCCTGATATTCCCCAGTCAGATTAAGCTGTAGTTGCCAATAGTGTTGTAGGTCTGATAATGATCTCTGTTGGTAACAGGTCTTCCACTCCTTGTCTCACTCCTTTCTTTTCATCCCTGCTGGTGTTTCCTGGGATCATCTCCCAGATAAGCTAAGCTTCTCACAGTGAAGTTATTACCTCAGTGTTTGCCTCCACAGCAAACTAAACTGAGATCCTTTCATCCTCTCTAAAGTTCTGTTAGAAAATGAAAAGCTGGGAATGGTGGCTCACACCTTTAATCCACCCAGCACTTTGGGAGGCCCAGGTGGGCAGATTTCCTGATGTCAGGAGTTTGAGACTAGCCTGGCCAACATAGT